GAACAACAGAAATGTCCATTATATGGGCAAATATAAGAGGTCTTCAAAATTTCTATATTGTTTCTTTAACAGATTAAACAGATTAATAGGCTGTTTAAAAGAAAACTAATAATGTATTATAAGGCTTATTAGTTATGTAGTTTAAATACGTGGTAAATATAACAATATTAAATACAAGAATGGAATTAAGTACAACAGGTTTTGAATTTTGAGATATATATGTATATGTATGTATATTTTAATGGACAGCTAAACAAATAAAAGATTATAGCTAAGAAACTAACAAAATTTTTAAAAATAATTAAGGACAAAATCAGCTTGTGAGGTAAAAATTAAGAATAAATGCAACAGATAGAAAACAAATTATAATGTGCTGGATTTAAGCCAAAATATATTTAGAATTACCTTGAATATAAGCAATTTAAATACTCCAATTAATGCAGAGATTGCCATGTTGAATCAAAAACATTAAGACACAACTACATGATTTCTACAAGGGACATCCTGAAAGAATAAAGACACAGGGCAGGTGCCGTGGCATAGCAGGTAAAGCCACCACCTGCAGTGCCAGCATCTCATATGAGCACCAGTTCAAGTCCCAGCTCCTCCACTTCCAGTCCAGGTCTCTGCTATGGCCTGGGAAAGCGGTGGAGGATGACCCAAGTCCTTGGGCCTCAGCACCCACGTGGGAAACTCAGAAGAAGCTCCTAGCTCCTGGCTTGGGATCAGTGCAGCTCTGACTGTTGTAGCCATTTGGTGAGTGACCAGTATGGCTGGAAGACCTCTTTCTCTCTCTGTTTCTCTGCCTCTGCCTCTCTGTAACTGTCCTTCAAATAAATCAATCTTTAAAAAAATTTTAAAAGGTGGAAAAAGATTTTTTAAAAATTAGCATAATAAAAACTACTAAAATCATTCATGGAAAAAAGTAACACACATAGCCAATTTTAGGAATCAGAAGAAAATTATTTTTATAGAACATATAGACCATAACAAGATACTAAGAGCATTTTCTGAAATACTTAGGAGTAAGATTTTTAAAACAGAGATCAAACTCTGAAAAATTTTGAAAACTGATTTATCAAAAACAAAAATTTACTATAACATAGGAAAATCCTACATAAACTAAATAATTAGAATCAGTAGTTACACTTATAGAACATTCCAAATTTTTTTTATTTGACAGGCAGAGTTAGACAGTGAGAGAGAGAGAGAGAGAGAGAAAGGTCTTCCTTCGTTTGGTTTACCCCCCAAATGGTTGCTACGGTCGGCGTGCTGCGCTGAGCCAAAGCCAGGAGCCAGGTGCTTCCTCCTGGTCTCCCATGCGGGTGCAGGGCCCAAGCACCTGGGCCATCCTCCACTGCCTTCCCGGGCCACAGCAGAGAGCTAGACTAGAAGAGGAGCAACAGGGACAGAACCGGCACCCTAACCGGGACTGGAACCTGGGGTGCTGGTGCTGCAGGTGGAAGATTAGCCTATTGAGCCGTGGCGCTGGCCCATTCCAAATTTTTAATAAAGAAAATACTCAATTTCCCAGATTCACACTAACCCAAAGAAAGCAGAAGTAGCTGTATAAATTACAGAAATAGCAGACTTCAGAACAAGAACTGTGGTTAATGATAGACACTTCTTAATAATAAAGGGATTAGTTTATCACAACACATTATAATTCTAGATTTGTAATCATTAATAAGATAATTATTAGAAACAAAGAAGAAACTGATATAATTAAATGGCAAATTTAATAAGTCCACACTCCTCTCTCTCTCTTTTTTAAAGATTTATTTATTTATTTAAAAGTCAGAGTTACACAGAGAGAGAAGGAAAGGCAGAGAGAGAGAGAGGTCTTCATCCACTGGTTCACTCCCTGATTGGCTGCAACAGCTGGAGCTGCGCCGATCTGAAGCCAGGAGCCAGGAGCTTCTTCCGGGTCTCCCACGTGGGTGCTGGGGCCCAAGGACTTGTGCCATCTTCTACTGCTTTCCCAGGCCATAGCAGAGAGCCGTAAAGTGGAGCAGCCGGGTCTTGAACCAGCACCCATATGGGATGCTGGCCCTGCAGATGGCAGCTTTACCCACTACACCACAGCACTGGCCCCTAAACACTCCTAAGTGATAGAAATTATGGGTTAAAAATCATTAAGTAAATAGAAGATTTGAACAATATTGTAACCAATTTGACAAAATTAATATTTGTAGAAAACTCCACAACAGCAGAATATACATATTTTTCAAATGTGTAGTCGCTTGCTAGGCAATAAAACAAGTCTTAATAAACCCAAAAGGATTAATATCATAAGAACATGTCCCCTGCCCACAATGCGGTTAAACTAGAAATTAATAACAGCATCATATTAATGAAATGCCTGTGAATTTGAGAATCAAAGAACACACTTATAAATACAGTATGAGTCACAGAAGAAGTCATAAGATATTTGAACAGATCAAAATTGAAAACAGCTTTTCAAATTGTAAGAGGTGAAGCTAAAGCAGTGTGTAGAGGAATGCTTATATCTTTCAATGCTTATATTAGAAAATAAGCTGTGGTGTAGCAAGTAAAACCACCGCCTGTAGTGCTAGCATCCCATATGGGCACTAGTTTGAGTCCTGGCTGCTCTACTTCCGATCCAGCTCTCTGCTATGTCCTAGGAAAGCAGTAGAAGATGGCCATAGTCCTTGGGCCCCTGAAACTGTATGGGAGACCTGGAAGAAGCTCCTGGCTCCTGGCCTCAGACCAGCACAGCTCTGGCTGTTGGCAGCCAAATGGGGAGTGAACCATTGGATGGAAGACCTTTTTCTCTGTCTCTGTCTCTGTCTCTCTCTCTCTCTTTCTGCCTCTCCTCTGCTCTCTCTGTAACTCTGACTTTCAAATAAATAAATAAATCTTTTAAAAAAGAAAGAAAGAAAATAAGCACCTAAAATTAGTTATTCAGGAATCATCCCAAAGAAGGTTGGAAAAGAAGAGTAGATGGAGCCCAAATCAAGCAGAGCAAAAATAAAATAGAGAATGAATATAAAGTGGAGACACAATAAGGAAAACCAGTCAAACAAAATATGACTCTTAGACAAGATCAGTAGTTGCTAAATCTCTAGCCAGACTGATCAAATAAATCAAAATACATAAAAGAAACTAATGAACAATATCAAGAATGAAAGAAAAGCCATCACCACAGATTCAACAGATAGTGAGAAATCATGATGAGCATTTTTATGATATAGTTTATATCTTAGATGAAATTGGTAAGCTCCTTGGTGAATTGGACAAATTCCTTAAAAGACATAAATTACAAAATATTTTCCAAGAACTCAAAGACCTCATATTTATTAAAAGTTTTGAATTCTGTTTAAAACCTTCCTATCAGAATCTTTTTTCCATAACTATTAACAAATTTCAATGTCTTCCAAAAAAGAGCAGGAAGAATCACTCCCAATTTATTTATGATGCATCCTTACCCAAAGGGAAAACAAAAGAAAACTACAGCCCAGTATTCCTCCTGCATGCAGGTGCAAAAGTCTCTGCAAGCTTTTAACTAATCAAATCCAGCAGTGTATACACAGCAACATACAGGAGTGGTAATTGAGCCTAGCAGTTACAACATCCATTCCATCTGATGGTTCACTCCCCAACTGGCCGCAATGGCCAGAACTGTGCCGATCAGAGGCTAGGAGCCAGGAGCTTCTTCTGGGTCTCCCACGTGGGTGCAGGGGCCCTACACTTGGGCCATCTTCTACTGCTTTCCCAGGCCATAGCAGAGAGCTGGATCGGAAGTGGAACAGCCAGGTCTTGAACCGGCGCCCATATGGAATGCCAGCACTTCAGGCCAGGGCGTTAACCCACTGCACCACAGCGCCAGCCCCCCAAGAAGTGTTTTGTGGCAGCATATGGTCAAACACAGCAGTGAACATAGCTTGTAGTTTTATGTCCTTGCTTGAATTTTCCCCTTCTTCACTTATTTGTCTAGAAGATTCTTTTATCTGAAAGATAAAGAGGAGAGGGAGAGGGAGAGGGAGAGGGAGAGGGAGAGAGAGAGAATATCTTCCATCTACTGGTTCACTTCCCAAATGCCACAACATCCAGGGCTGGGCCAAGTTGAAGCCAGTAGCCAGGAGCTCCACCTGTGTCTCCCTATGGATGTCAGGGGCCCAGGAACTTCAGCCATCTCCTGCTGCTTCCCAGGCACATTTAGCAGTGGGCTGGATTGGAAGCAAACGCCAGCCCCTCCTTCACTCATTTTTCTCTCCACTTTCCTCCGGTTTCCTTCCTTCCTCTTCCCATAAATATTATGCCTGCTTTTACCAGATTGCCTCCTTGAGAAGATTCACATTTTTTTTTTTAAAGGATTACATCTTTTTCATTTAACAGGGTTCCTAGCATAACGGTTGTTTAAGAAATATTCAAAGAGCAAATGAATGGAATATGTTTCTTTTTTTGTTTCTAATGATAGTAATCTGAATAAAGAATTCTTATGAACTGGTTTCATTTAGTCAAACTTTCACTTATCAGTATTGAGTGCCTTCTGTGTACTAAAACCAGCAGGTAAATAAGCTCTAAAACAGGAATTCTTATGAGGGGAGTAGATGATGTTGCTACATTAGTGGCAGTCTTACACCTACTACTTCCATAGTTGGACACTCAATCCATTCATTTTATACTTGCAAACACAGCAAAATAAAATAGATCCATTATACTCACAAAGGAACATTTATATAGTTATAGCTATTGAACAATGAGTTGGTCAGTTAGGAAAATTAGATCATCATGAGTTGGTAGATCTGAATGAATTTATGTGACTCACCTATAGCTCATTTGTAATTAACTTATTTTTAAATAGTTAACTAGGAGTTGCAGAAGTCATTGAGAGCTCTGAGTCTCCCCCATCATGCTGTCTTCGAGAGGCACCATCCATTATCAGAGCAAGGAGATCGGCATTGGTACTGTGGTACGAACTCAGAGACAGCCTCAAAGCTTTATTTTTTAAAAATAGATGCTTGTTTTCCATGTAGATTTTCACATCATTACCACCTTTAACTCTGGGAATCTTTGAACGGTGTTGCAGTGAGGAGAGCCTGATCAAGTATCCAGAACTCTACAGAATTCCTCAGACAGGAGAAACTTTCAACACAAAGGTAAACAGAAACTGTGTTGCAGGTCTGTCACCTCAACTTGATTCCAAAGGCATATTTGGTCTCTTCCTTTTCTGATGTTTTAGGAATAATTGTCTTCTTTTGTCTTTTAAGATTTTATTTATTTATTTGAGAGGTAGAGTTACAGAGAGAAAGGTCTTGCATCCACTGGTTCACTCCCCAGATGGCCACAAAAGCCTGAGCTGAGCCTATCCGAAGCCAGGAGCTGGGAGCTTCTTCCTGGTCTCCCACGTGGGTACAGGGGCCCAAGCACATGGGCTGTGTTCTACTGCTTTCCCAGGCCATAGTGGAGAGCTGGATCAGAAGAAGAGCAGCTGAGACTTGAACTGGTGCCCATATGGGATGCTGGTGACACAGGCAGACTTTAGCCCAATAAGCCATAGCACTGGCCCCTGTTAAGATTTTGTTTATTTAAAAGGCAGAGTGACAGAGGAGAGAGAAAAACGGAGAGGTGGGAGGGAGAGAACTTTCATCCATTGGTTAATTCTCCAAATGGACTCAACAGCTGGGCAAGGCCAAAGACAGAAGTAAGGAACTCCATCTGAGTCTCCCGCATGGGTAGCAGGCTCCAAGCACTTGGGCCATCTCCCACTGCTTTCCTGGGTACGTTATCAGGGAGCTGGGTGAAAAGCAGGGCAACTGTGACTCAAACTGGCATTGTGATATAGGATTCCTGCATTGCAAGTGGTAGATTAACAAGCTGCTTCACATCCCCAACACCCAGGAAAATAATTTTAAAACCAAAGGAGGGTCGGTGCTGTGGCATAGCAGGTAGAGCTGCCGCCTATAGTGCTGGCATCCCATATGGGCACTGGTTCAAGTCCCTGCTGCTCCACTTTCAATCTGTCTCTCTAGTATGGCCTGGGGAAGCAGTAGAAGATGGCCTGAGTCCTTGGAACCCTGCACCCACATGGGGGACCTAGAAGAAGCTTCTGGGTCCTGGCTTTGGATCGGCTCAGCTCCAGCCATTGTGGCCATTTGGGGAGTGAGCCAGCGGATGGAAGACCTCTCTCTCTCTCTCCCTCTCTCCCTCTGCCTGTCTGTAATTCTGTCTTTCAAATAAATAAATAAGTCTTTAAAAAAAAGAAGTGCAGCCTGTGCAGAGATTGAAATTCAAGGAATAGAAATAATTTTATGTGGGAAATGAAAAAAAAAAAGTGTTGTGAAAGAGAAGGAAGCTGTCAGGTGTGGTCTCACTGAGCTGCCTCAGGAGGTATGCTGTGTGTCGGGTGGTCCTGGATAGAACCAAGGAGGAACTTCAGTCTGCCTTCAAATGTGACGTTGCTCCAGGTAATTCTCTTGGGAGAGTTGCTTCCTGAGATCACAGGACTTGTGATTCTCTGGCAGGAAGTCAGGGAGAGTAAAAAGACTTTTATAGGCTGTAAGAGCAATGACACACTGCCTTGTCAATTCTGAATATGCATCTCAATTATTTGTGATGCTTTCAAGAAATATAGACACCTAGAAGAAGCAGAAGTCTTTTGAGTGTATTAAGACTTATATGGTGGCTCAAAGTATGCTTTGTCTTTGAGACAGTTCATCTTTACTTCAAAAACTGTGTAAGGTGAAGTTCGTAATTAATGTTGTTCAAAATTTCTACTTGTTCTATCAGTTATGAAGAGGCATTGAAATCTCCAACCACAATTGTGGGTTTATTTACCATTGAAATTCTACCTATTTTGCTTCCTGTATTTTGAACCTGTTATTAGGTATATTACTATCCACCTATTGTATTGTATTATATATTGGGATTTTTATGTTCTCTTAATTGATCCCTTTATCAATGACCTTTTCCACTTCTGAAAGTGTCCGTTGCACTGCAATCTACTTTTATAGTCATGTAATTACTCTAGCTGCCTCTATTTTTTACCCATTTGAATCCCAATATTTAAATGATTCTTGTAGGCAGTTTATACTCTGGCTTTGTTATCCAGTCTGGCCATATGTCCCTTTTAACTGAATGTTTAAGCATTCACATTTGATGTGCTTGCTGATATGGCTAAATGTAAACTTAGCATCTTGGCATTTTCAATTTATCCTATCTATAATTTTTTCCTTCTTTCTCTTCCTTCATTTGGATTGATTCATTTTCATAAATTCCTATTTATCTTCTTTGTTGGCTTATTAGCTATAACTCTTAGTTTTCTTATGTTAGAACTTGCTTTGGAATTCATGTATGTCTTTAGGTTATTATAGTCTACCTTTAAGTGATATAATACTTTACATATAACATAAAATTTAATTTAGTATACTTCCATTACTTGCCTAATCTTGTGGATATTCATGCTATATACTTTAGAAACTCTTCACTATATTGGTTTATTTTGTTTAAACAATTATTTTTAAGCTAAATAATAGTAAATAATTATTTTTAGACTATTGTTACCCCTATAATTATTTTCAATGATCTATCTTTTGTGTAAATTCACATTATTATCTTTCTTAATTTGTTTCATTCTGAAGGACTTCCTTAAACATTCCTTGCATGAATCTGCTGGCAAAGAACTATTTCAACTGTTTTATCTATGAATAAATCTTTCACTTTCATTTTTTAAAATTATTTTTGCTTGGTATGAAATTATGAGTTGATAGTTTCTTTCAGTATTTTCCATAACCTTCTTGTTTGCATTGTTTTGATGTGAAATTGCTGATATCCTCATCTTTATGTCTCTGTATGTAATGTGTCTTTTTTTTTTTTTACCTCTCTGGCTACTTTTAACACTTAAAGCAATTATTCCTATTACTGGATGTGAAAATTTCAATTGGGATGCCTTATTCACGTTTCTTGTGCTTCTTAGGTCTGGTGGCGTTCGCTGAGCCTCTTGTATCAGTGGGTTTGTGAGTAGGAGGATGTCTGGGCCTATTCTAGTCTCTGCTTGTTTTTGTAAACAAAGTTTCAATGGGATGTAGTCCTGCGTGTTTGTTTACAAAGTATGTAAGTCTGCTTTAGTGCCATAACTTTTGAACATATAAAATACAGCTATTATAATTGTTTCATTATCCCTGTCTTAAAATTACAACATCTGTGTTGATTCTGGGGTGGATTTCATTGACTTATTTACCTCCTTATTTTGGGTAGTGTTTTCCTACCTCTTTGCTTGCCCAGTAATTCTGGATTGAATTCTTAATACCTAAATTTTACCTGGGTAAGTGCTGGGTACATTTGTATTGCCTTTAGTATTCTGTATACTAGAATACAGCAAGTTCATTGGAAACATTTTGATCTTTTTCGTATGACTTAAGAATTGTCACTCAGAACAGGAGCAGTGTTCAGTACAGGGAGAACTATTCTTCACTCCTTTTCAGTCACTGTATTGAGCGTTCCATGAATCTTGAGGTTTTCCAATCTGGCATTTGCTTTTTCTTTTCTAAACTCTTTTCTTACATTTTTTCCTTAAAACTATCTGATTCCAGGAAATTGTGGATATGTCGCTTATATTTTTCCACGCTCTTTTTTAGTCCTTTATTAATGAATATTTCTGGGAAACCTGAAAATAAATGGTATATTTAAAACTGAAGGGGCCGGCGCCGCGGCTCAGTAGGCTAATCCTCTGCCTAGCGGCGCCGGCACACCGGGTTCTAGTCCCGGTTGGGGCGCTGGATTCTGTCCCTGTTGCCCCTCTTCCAGGCCAGCCCTCTGCTGTGGCCAGGGAGTGCAGTGGAGGATGGCCCAGGTGCTTGGGCCCTGCATCCCATGGGAGACCAGGAAAAGCACCTGGCTCCTGGCTCCTGCCATCGGATCAGCGCGGTGCGCTGGCCGCAGCGCGCCGGCCGCGGCGGCCATTGGAGGGTGAACCAACGGCAAAGGAAGACCTTTCTCTCTGTCTCTCTCTCTCACTGTCCACTCTGCCTGTCAAAAAAAAAATAAATAAATAAAATAAAATAAAAAAACTGAAGGAATAAAAACTTTTACTTTCATTATTTTTATCATCTAACTAATGTGCACTATTGTTTGATTGAGCTCAGAGACTTCATATTATTGAGAATTGAGAATTTCTTTCAGAAAATTGTTCATGGATATTGAAAATTAAATTGAGCAAAGTCAAGGTGTAAATGTAAACTAAAAAAAGATGAAATTATATCATACAAAGTACAGAACAAAGTTCCATTTAAAGTTCTGTAATTTCTAAATTGAAAAATATTTATTTCTTTTACAAATTCTTCAGGGACCGGCACTGTGGTGTGTAGCAGGTAAAGCCACTGCCTGCAGTGCCAGTATCCCATATGGGGACACCTTTGAATCCCTGCTGCTCCACTTCAGATCCAGCTCTCTGCTTTGGCCTGGGAAAGCAGTAGAAGATGCCTAAGTCTTTGGGCCCCCGCACCCATGTGGGAGACCCAGAAGAGGCTTCTGGCTCCTGGCTCCTGACTTTGGATCAGTGCAGCTCTGGCCATTGCAGTCATTTGGGGAGTAAACCAGCAGATGGAAGACATCTCTCTCTCTCTATGCCTCTGCCTCTCTGTAACTCTGCCTTTCCATAAATAGATAAATCTTTAAAAAAATATTACTTCTTGTTCTGTTACACTGGATAATTTAATCCTTCATAATTTTTTATAACAAATACACCTCAGCTCTATACATTTATATTTAATAGAATAAAAACAGTGTTACATAGTCTTATAATATTATAATATTAAATAATTCCAATGATATTCTATAATTTCAAATTATATTAGCATATAATTCATGAACTATCAAATAATATTATCCTATAATTTTGTAGTCATTTCTTTTTTTTAAAGATTTATTCACTTATATGAAAGGCAGAGTTACAGAGAGAGAGAGAGAGACAGAGAATGTCCTCCAGCTGATTCACTCCCCAAATGGCTGCAACAGGCCAGAATTCCCACATGGATGCAGGGGCCCATGTACCTGGACTGTCCTCTGCTACTTTCCCATGAGCATTAGCAGGGAGCTGGATCAGAAGTGGAGAAGCCAGGACTCAAACAAGTGCTCATATGGAATGACAACATCGCAAGAGGTGGCTTTACCTGCTATGCTACAGCTCTGACACCTGCAGTCATTTCTTTCAAAGTAAAATAGTGAAATACAAATTTTCAAACACCAGAAAAACATTTTAACTTTGTAACTGTCCTCTTCAGCAAATATACCACACAATATCACATATGTTTATATTCTGATGAAGGTATCATCTTGACTTTCTTCCTTTGTCGTCTTTTAGGTGTTTTGGATCCAGTGTATGAATGCTTTGGTCCACTCCTTCATTCTCTTCTGGTTTCCTGCAAAAATGCTGAAGCATGGTAATGCCTTCACTTTTTCAGATATTCAGCAAAGACTATGTTACTCTCACCAGAATTAATGTTTGAGTCTCTGTGTGCCCACAGAAAGAACTGGAGGTCACAGAGATAAAATTTAGCAAAATATAAAATATTCACCTAATTCTGATATTGGACATTCCTCTGGTTACCAGCCTGCACTTTGAACAGTTAATGGGTGATCTTTAGGACCCGTTCTCTTTTCCTCTGACATGTATAAAGTGAGAACCAATACTTTTGGTGTTAATTTTTAATAAATACCCGAGTCAGGTGGTCTAATGCAAAGCACAGTAGTTCTGATAAACATTTATGATCATAGATGCCTCTTAATTAGTGAGTTTGTTTTTAAGCCTACTTGATTTCCTGTATTTGTTGTAGGAATATGTTTCCCAGTCTTTATTCCAAGTCCTTGCTCCCATGTGAGATAATAATTCAATGTAGAAACAAAATAAGGTACATGAATGAAAGCATAATTTATTTAAAGTGGGAGAGTGAGTATACATTCAGGCATGAGAGTAGACAACCCCACGAGGAAAGATACTCACTACAAGATGGCCACAAAGGAAGAGTATGGCAGAAGGCAAGAAAAGAGCCATTCCACTCCCACGTCCAGTCATCCCTTCTATGGGGTGAGGGTTAAAGCCCTAATGAACATGCAGATGGGGTGGAGTTTGGTCAGGGCTTAGTGTGCATGAGGTTTTCTGGGAGCTTCATGGCATTTCCCCATGGAGCTCAGCTTACATATGTTCAACACAGCATCTACTTCCCAGTCTCAGAACCAGGTCCATCATGGGAAAGTGGGTACACTGGATCGGCATATATGGGAGTGGAGTCAAAGTGTATGTCTGTGAGACAGAAATTGTGAGAATTTCTTCCAGCTCATTTTTCCCTATCTCCCTGCCTATTCTGGGCCCCATGTCATTTTCACTTCTAAAATGTCATAGTTCAATTTAGACTGTAACATGATTCTAATAAGATCATATAAAAATTTAAACTTACACTTGATTATTCAAACAAGTCTTCTTTTCATGACATATGATATTCCCAATACTATTATGTGCAAAATTTTCATTTGGGTCTAATACATCCAAAACTAGGAGATATATTTATAAAGATACCATTTATATACAATGGGTTTATATGTCATATTATAAGATGTGAAATTTAATTATATATATATATATTGACAGGCAGAGTTAGACAGAGAGAGAGAGAGAGAGAGAGAGAGAGAGAAAGGTCTTCCTTTTCCCTTGGTTCACCCCCCAAATGGCCGCTACAGCTGGCGCACTGCACCGATCTGAAGCCAGGAGCCAGTTGCTTCCTCCTGGTCTCCCATGCGGGTGCAGGGCCCAAAGACTTGGGCCATCATCCACTGCACTCCCAGGCCACAGCAGAGAGCTGGACTGGAAGAAGAGCAACTGGGACAGAATCCAGCGCCCCAACCGGGACTAGAACCCAGGGTGCCAGTGCCGCAGTGCCAAATGAGCCGCAGCACTGGCCATTTTAATTATTAGGCATTTTTATTAGGTATTTTATTAGGCATTTCTAGCAACTATATACTTTACGTTGGATATATTTAAATTCTAAAAAATAAAATCCTGAAACAAAACCCTCAACAAAATACTAGCTAATCGAATCTAACAATGCATCAGAAAGATCATTCACCCAGACCAAGTAGATGGCATTTATCCCTGATATTCAGGGATGGTTCAACATTGCAAATCAATCAATGGGATACACCACATTAACAAACTAAGAACAAAAACCATATGGTTATCTCAATAGATAAGGAGAAAGTATTTGAGAAAATACAACATCCTTCATGATGAAAACCTTAAAGCAAATTGGGTATAGAAGGAACATTCCTCAACACAATCAAGGCAATTTATGACAAACCCACAGCCAAAATCCTATTGATTGGGAAAAGCTGGAAGCATTTCCACTAGGATCTGGAACCAGACAAGGATGTCCACTCTCACCATTGCTATTTAATATAGTTCTGGAAGTTTTAGCCAGATCCATTAGTCAAGAAAAAGAAATCAAAGGGATAAATTTGAAAAGGAGGAAGTCCAACTATCCCTATTTGCAGATGACATGATTCTATATATAGGGGATCCAAAAGACTCCACTGAGAGACTATTGGAATTCATAAAAGAGTTTGGTAATGTGGTAGGATATAAAATCAACACAGAAAAATCAATAGCCTCTGCATACACAAACAGTGTCATGGCTGAAAAAGAACTTTTAAGATCAGTCCCATTCACAATAACTCCAAAAAGACAGGTTCAGGGAAAGAGAGAGCTCACTAGAGCTCTTCTGAGGTAACAGCAAACCCCAAAAGGCTAGTCTCAAAAATACTAAAACAACATTAGAATGCATAAACAAGTTAAGCAGCCTTTCAGGAAATAAGAGCCATATACAAAAATCAATTTTACTTCTCCACAATAAGGAAAAGTGAACTAAAAATGAAATTAAGAAAGCAATCAGATTTACAGTGTATCAGCATAAATAAAATACTTAACAGAGGCTGGTGCTGTGGCGTTGCCAGTAAAACTGTCGCCTACAGTAACAGCATCCTCTATGGGTGCTGGTTTGAGTCCCATCTGCTCCACTTCTGATCCAGCTCTCTGCTATGTCCTGGGAAAGGCAATGGATGATGGCTCAAGTCTTTGGGCCCTTATACCCACATGGGAGACCCAGAAGAAGCTCCTGGCTCCTGGCCTTAGATTGGCCCAACTCTGGCCATCGCAGCCATTTGGGGAGTGAATCAGCAGATGGAAGATCTCTCTCTCTCTCTCTCTCTGCCTCTGCCTCTGCCTCTCTGTAACTCTGCCTTTCAAATAATAAATAAATCTAGAATTTTTTTTAAATAAAATACTTAACAATAGGTTTAACAAACGAAAGACAAATTTATACTGTGAAGACCATACAAAATATTGTTTAAGAAGTAAAAGAAAGTTTAAAATCAATGTAAAGAAATCCACATTTATGGGCTAGAAGACTTAACATAGTTAAGATGGCAATATTTCTGGCTGACTTTGCTGAAAAAATGGACAAGCTGTTTCTAAAATTCAGCTGGAGGCTGGCACCATGACTTACTAGGCTAATCCTCCGCCGGCGGCGCTGGCACACCAGGTTCCAGACCCGGGTCGCTGTATCTGCTTGGGATACTTGGAAGAAGTTCCTGGTTCCTGGCTCCTGGCTTCTGTCTGGCTTAGCCTTAGCTGCTGCATCCATCTGGGGAGTGAACCATTGGATGGAAGTTTTCTCTCTTTCTTTCTCTCTCTCTATAACTCTACCTTTCAAATAAATTAATAAATCTTTAGAAAAAGAAAAGATAAAATTTCGAAGGAAACAAGTAAATGGAAAGATATGACGCATCCATGGATTGGAAGAATTGATAGTTAAAATGTCCATACTATTCAAAATGATCTACAGATTTAATGTAGTTGCTATGCAAATTCCAATTAAAGTTTCCACAGAAAGAGAAAAATCAACCCTAAAATTTGTATTTAACCACAAAAGACCAAAGCAATGTGAGCATTGTGGAGGGAAAAAAAAGAAGAAGAAGCCTGGGCATAATACTACCTGGGTTATACTATAGTATACAGCAAGGCTATGTGATCAAAACAGCGTGGTTCTGGCCTGAAGAGGCACATAGGCCAATGGGACCGAATAGAGAGCCCAGAAATTAAGCCACATATACATCAATTGATTTTTAACAAAGTTACCAAGAATACACAATGAGGAAAGCACAGTTCTTTGATAAATGTTATTGACATGAGTGGTTATCCACATGTACAAGAGTGAAATTAGACCCTTATCTCATACCTTACATAAAAATCAAGTCAAAATGCATTAAGGACTTACATGCAATACCTGAAACTATAAAATCACTTAGAAGAAAGGAAACAAGGCAAAAGTTCCATGACACTGGTCTGTGCAGTGGTTTCTTGAATATGAACCCCAAAGTACAGGTAACAAAAGCAAAACAGACAAATGGGATTACATGAAACTGAAAAGCTTCTGTAACACTATCGTCTGGTAAAGGATTAACATCCAAAGTATATAAAGAATTCAAACAGCTTAATCATAAGACAGCTGATACCCAAATTAGAGTAGGCTAGGAAGTGAGCAGATATTTCTCAAAAGAATACATACAAGCAGTTAACAGGTATGTGAAAATATACTTATAATCACTAGTCATCACAATGAGATTTCATCTCAAACCTGTTAGAATGGCTTTTATAATAGATAAGTGTTGGTGAGGATATGAAGAAGGAACCTTACACACCGTTGATGGAAATGTGAATTAGTACAGCCCTTATGGAAAACAGTTTGGTGGTTCCTGAAGAGTTTAGAATTTTGCTTCCCCAGAATGGAATAAAGCATTTGTGAATTATGCAGCAAGAGACTTGTATCCAGAATATGTAGAGAATACTTAAGTCAACCATAAAAAGGCAAATGACACAATGTTTTAAATAGGCAAAGGATTTAAATGGACATTTCTCCAAAGAACAAATAACCAATAAAAACATGAAAAGATATTAAACATCATTGATCCTTAAAGCAATATAAATTAAACCCACAATGAGATACCACTTCATAGCAATTAGGATAACTATAATTAAATAGCAGATTCAAGAAGTGTTGACAAGGTTGTGGAGAGATTGGAACCTTCACGTACTGCTGACCAGAATGCAGCACAGTACAGCTGCTTTGGAAAAGAGTCTGCATGGGGCCGGCACTGTGGCATAGCGGGTAGATCCACTGCCTGCAGTGCCAGCACCCACATGGGCGCCTTCCACGCAGATCCACTGTGTCTCCTCCTCCCACAGAATTCCCACTGCTTGCATTCCTGTTTTAATATATTTTTCTAATCTTTAATTCTGGGTTGGTCTTCTTTGTTCTGTTTGTGTGACCTTATGATACTCAGGAAGGTTTGAATTTTTGTTCTTATGGTCATTTTTTATTATAAGTATATATAAGCAATATTCTATTTCTGTAGAAAAATCCATTTGTTTCCTTTGTGAAGAATGGCAGAATTATCCTATTTCTCTTCCTTCTTTTTATTTTCCCTTTTCCCCAGCATCCCCTTATCTTGTATACGGTATGCCTTCATACTGTGAAATATAATTCTATTACTTGATTTGCTAGCTTTGAATGTTTTCCAGGGACTTGCAGTTAGCATTGATGAGACAATCTGCAGATGTCCTTTACTTCCCATCTGCCTCACCTGCACCTTGCATACTATGTAAATGGAATGATTTCCACACTATGTGGACATGCAGAAATTACAGTCACATTGATCATCCTTCCATCACAATTGCTTTTGCCTGCTTTGTCTTTTATAAAATTTTTTAAAGATTTATTTATTTATTTATTTAAAGAAAGAGCAACAGAGAGGCGGGGGGAGAGACAGAGTGAGAGGGCTTCCATTCACAGGTTCCAAATAGCCACAACAGCCAGGGCAGGGCCAGGCCAGAGCCAGGAGCCAGGAAACCCATCGAGGTCTCCCATGTGGGTGGCAGGGCGTAAGCACTTGAACCATCTTCTGCTGCTTTCTCAGGTGCATTAGCAGGGAGCTGAATCAGAAGCAGGCAATGGCTTAACTCGTTGCACCATAACACAGGCCCCAGCCTGCTTAATCTTAACTCTACAGTTCAATGTATCAAACACTCACAGCCTGCCATATTACTGTGGCTTCTCTGATGATTTCTTTGTTGGTTGATTACACTGGGTTTTGTTGCAAAATTCCCTGGTGAGTATTCCTCATGTGATGAATTTTGCTGTACTTTTGCACTCATTTACTTTTAAACCATTTAAAAATATATTTTATATAAATGACCAAAATTGATAGTACAATGAATAATTACCACACAAAATCATGAAACACAGCATTCTTCTTTTTCCTAACAGTTTATTTATTTTTATTTTGAAGATTTATTTATTCATTTGAAAGAGTTACAGAGAGGCAGAGACAGAGGTACAGAGAAAGAGAGACAGAGATCTTCCATCCACTGGTTCACTCCCCAAATGCCCTCAACTGCTGGAGCTGGGCTGATTCGAAATCCGGGAGCCAGGAGCTTCTTCCAGGTCTCCCATGTGCGTGCATGGGCCCCAGCACTTGGGCCATCTTCCACTGCTTTCCCAAGCCACAGCAGAGAGCTGGATCGGAGGCTGAGCAGCCAGGTCTTGAATCAGATTCCATATGGGAAGCCAGCACTGCAGTCCATGACTTTTACCTGCTACAACACAGTGCCAGCCCCCTTATGGATTATTATTACAGGCGAAATGCTTGTTTCTTTATGTTACTGTTCATGGAATTAGAATTTTCTGTCCCAGGTATTTGAAAACAGTTCTTGTAAGTAGTGTACTTTTTTTTTCTTACTTATTTGACAGGTAGAATTAGACAGTGAGAGAGAGAGACAGAGAGAACGGTCTTCCTTCTGTTGGTTCACCCCCCATGAAGCCAGGTGTTTCCTCCTGGTCTCCCACGTGGGTGCAGGTGCCCAATCACCTGGGCCATTCTTCACTGCTTTCCTGGGCCACAGCAGAGAGCTGGACTGGAAGAGGAAGCTGGGACTAGAACCCAGTGCCCATATGGGATGCCGGTGCTGCAGGCAGAGGAGTAGCCAAGTGAGCCATGGCACCGGCCCCACAAGTAGTGTACTTTAAAAAACAAATTTGCTGGAGGAGTAAGGGAAGCACTAGCTCTCATTCACTGCTTCATTTCCCAAGTGTCTGCAGCAGTGAGAGCTAGGCCAAACAAAGCTGGGATCCAGGAACGCAATCCAGGTCTCCCATGTGGCTGGCAGGCACCCGACTCCTTACACCATCACTGCTCCCTCCCGGGATCTGCTGGAAGCCAGAATCAGAAGCACAGCTGGGACTTGAACCCAGGCTCTCTCTTTCGGCACGCTGGCATCTTGGTGCTAGGCCAGATGCCTACAGGCATGTATTTTGGGGAATGTCTCCCGAGCTCTGCTGCTGTAGGCACACTTGGTGCTTCCATCAGAGTCTTTACCGCCAGTCACCAAACGCAGCTCCTGGGCCCAGCTCAGCTGCCTGACGCCCTCATTAGCCTCTGACTCTGTGGGGCTTTTTGTCTCCTGGAGTCCCTGACGTCGATTTCGTGGAGGTTTCTCAGTTGGCGTTGTTTCGTATAAAATCCAGGAAGCAAGGAATTTCTGTCTCATTCCATAGTGTTCACTGGACGCTTCCCTCCAACCCCGCTGTACTTGGTAATTTCTCCCTGTCCATGGCAAACATGTATCTGAACAGTAGGAGTCAATATTGCTTTCCTGCACAGTGGTTTTATTTCCTCCAGTCAACGGTAGTGTTCTTCTCATCTATACTATCTTCCTACTCCCAGTAAAACTCTAAGTCTAGGTCAGCACCCACCCCAGAACCATGGTTTTCACTTTCCTAGCTTGTCTAACCTGACCCATGTATTTATCTAAGTTTCTATCAGTCAAATGCCCCAAACAATCCATTGTATATGGTCTTAGGATAGGATTTGGCCTTGAATATTTTAATGGGTTTGAACTCAGGGGAAAACAGAATAAATAATCTTCAGATGCATATGTATAACATCTGAATGGTATTAGGGCCAGGAATTTTCACTCCAAAATTTTCATACCTACCAGGATCAGAAACCACCAAAATATAACTGAAAAAATTTTAAATATAAAAATGGTCTTAGAAATCACCCATGGCAGCTCACCAGGCTAATCCTCCACCTGTGGCGCTGATACTCCGGGTTCTAGTCCTGGTTGGGGAGCCGGTTCTATCCCGGTTGCTCCTCTTCCAGTCCAGCTCTCTGCTGTGACCCAGAAAGGCAGTGGAGGATGGCCCAAGTCCTTGGGCCCTGTACCCACATGGGAGACCAGGAGGAAGCACCTGGCTCCTGGCTTCAGATTGGTGCAGCCCGCCGGCTGTAGCGGCCATTTGGGGGGTGAACCAACAGAAGGAAGACCTTTTTCTCTGTCTCTCTCTCTCTCACTGTCTATCTCTGCCTGTCAAAAAAAAAAAAAAAAAAAAAGAAATCACTCTCATCTTAGGATAATACTGACATTTCATATAGGATGAAAATCATACATTTTGTGGAAGATTTAGCAATAGCTGGAGGAAATTAAAATTTTCACCGTGATTTCAAATTATTATTTTAGTAATTATAGTTTTAGCAATCTTAGAAAAGGAATAGCATGGAACTATAATGACAAAATTGTTAAAACTCCTATTAACTAACATCACTCATTGGACAGGTTGGGTTTTGAATTTTATGTTCTTCCAAATGGTTTTGATATATGTGAAACTTGGATTACTAATCACATTCATGTACTCCTGTGACTTATTTAACCATTTGATAATGTATTTTTGGAGAGAGTAAGAGGTGAAAGAAAGTGCCATGATCATGACAGGCAAAGGAAGCATTGTTGTCACTGATGGCAAGTTAGAAATATGACTGATAATTGTACATCTTTGGTGCCAGTAAAAATAAATTTATGTAGTAGAATAAATTCAACCTCTGTGTTTCAGACTCTGTGAAGATTAAAAAAAAAAAACTTTTCTCTTTTTCAGATATAGTCTTACAACATGGCTACACTACAGACTATTTGTTTCTTGGAAATTTTATTTATACGGTAAGATCACCCATGTACATGAAATCACTTTTTCTAGTTTCTAATTGAAGAAATTAAGTCAAACATTCTAAGACAGTGGAAGTCTCCTTCACACTCCAAAACCTTTGCCAATAGCAAGCTACCAACCCCACCCCCTTTTTGTGATACAAGATGTTCTTATGCATCTTAATTTTTCACTATATAATGAAACTTATTGATGGTTTCAAATCAGCCCTTAAATATCTACCTCATCCTTTCAAGGATGCTCGTGTGAACAACATACCATTGCCTAGTCAGCCAGTCTCCTGGGAAAGGACGTTGAAGTTGACCTTGATCCTTTGACTGTCTGAACAGTGCTGCAAAGGCTCTTCCTGATGTCCATGACCAAGTGAATCTTAAGGATGTATTTCCACAAGTGCAAAAGCTGGATCCGAGGGTATTGTGAATTTTGAAAGACATTATAAAATATTCCTCCAAAGAGGCTGCACAAATTTAGCAATAAGAATGCTGGATTCCTTAAGACCCCATAGGAAGTGATATTACTGTATTTGGATCCAGTGGATGGAATGATACCCTATTGCAGGTTTTACTTTGAGAATAAACATTTGCATAAAATGAAATAGAGCAATCACAGAATTTTCACTTTCTGTGTCTGTCTTTACTAATTACTCTATTGGGTTGTCGATCATTGTCTTATTAATTATAAGTAATTACATACTAAAGATGTTGATTGTTTTCTCATACTTCTTTCGAAAATACTTACCCAGTTTCACATTAGCACTTGCCAATATATATTCTGCATATAAACTTTATGAAATTAAGTTTATTAATATTTTATTTATGACTTCTAAGTCTTGTGTCTGCAGTTACTGCTATCAGTTTCTTATCCATAATTTTAAACATAAATGCATATTCAACGTTGTGTTATCCCATCTGCATGTAAGTAAAAACATTCCTCTGCATTTTGCGTTATTTATTTTTTCATTTAACAACATATTATAAACCATTTGCTCCATGTTTTCCCCTGTGTAAGAAATAACTTATTAGGATATTGCCTCCTTTCACTTTCACTGGTTGTCTTATTTATATTATTAGTTGTGATTTTAGGTCTATATTACACATTTTTTAATATCAAATATGACTAGATAGTGTTTTCTCTCTTAGTGGGAAATGTGCATAGAACAAGGTTCCTTCTTTTCAAATCCCGCTGCTTCAGGCCTTATCCTTTTCTCAGCTCTAGGAAAAAATCAATAAAATCAAGCAAGATTTTGTTTCTTTGTTTCCTTCACTAACCAACATTTCTTGAGACCTGTCGTGTAAAACACTCTGTTGAGTGTTAAACAGATGTCAGTAAACCCAAGCAAGTCCTCCCAAAAATTACATTCTACAGAGATAACAGTAGGATCTTTAGATAGAGTCAAATTCTTCCATGTTACTTATAGAGAATGTGAATGTCAGAACTGATGCATGAGCATTGGTTTTAGTCATAGGTTACAGAGTTTCTCAGCGTATTTATATGAGTGCATACACACATACAAAGAGAGACCTCATTAAGATGCCAGAGTAAACTGATGTCATGGACTCTCAATCTCCCAAGGCTAAAAAATATATATAACCAAAATGGTAAATCCAACAATAAAAATTATAGCAAAATAATTCACCACAGCAGCTGTAGAAGAAAAGGAAATTAGCAAAATGCTTTTTACAAAGACACCTCAACGTTGGTGCTGCTGGAGAAATACAGCAAGAGTCGGCAGGTTCAGCCTGGTATGGGCACTAAGCTCTCTGGGGTCAGCACGTTGGCAGAGAGGTCAGTGACGGTACCAGGGGTGGGGGGGTCAGGAAAGCACTGGGGAGCGGTGGATTCTGACAGAAATTTGTCATGCGTTTTCCCATCTCTTTCTCCCTCCCCTGTCACCTCCCACAGTATGTAGTGGTTACCGTTTGTCTGAAAGCTGGGTTGGAGACAATGTCTTGGAACAAAGTGAGTATTCTTTAGGATTTCTTCTCAGATTTACTTTTTTTTTTTTTTTTTTTTTACAGGCAAAGTGGACAGTGAGAGAGAGACAGAGAGAGAAAGGTCTTCTTTTACCGTTGGTTCACCCTCCAATGGCCGCTGCGGCTGGTACGCTGTGGCCAGTGCACCACGCTGATCCGAAGCCAGGAACCAGGTGCTTATCCTGGTCTCCCATGCGGGTGCAGGGCCCAAGCACTTAGGCCATCCTCCACTGCCTTCCCGGGCCACAGCAGAGAGATGGCCTGGAAGAGGGGCAACTGGGACAGAATCCGGCGCCCCGACCAGGACTAGAACCCGGTGTGCCGGCGCCACTAGGCGGAGGATTAGCCTATTGAGCCGCGGTGCCGGCTCAGATTTACTTTTAAACTTCAGAAAAAATAAACTTTCTTTCCTGGTCTCCATTTTACTTTCTCTTGTGTTGCATACTCAGGTGATGATTTAAACTGGGTGAAGGCAAAATTATCCATCTAATGTCTTTAGGCTGTTGATTTTTTCCTGCCTTTAACTTGAAATTAATTCAAGTTATCATGCCGTTAATTGAGACCCTTCATTTGCTACTAGTATCCAAATTCAGAATTATAATAGAAACTTTAGCTAATTCAGAAAAAGAAGGAAATATATATTCTCAATACAGTTAAATGCAAATGATATTAACATTTTGATTTATATTCTTTCAGTCTTTCTTTAGATTTTTTTTTCTTAAAAATAGAATCACAAGTTACCTAATATTATGTAACACTTTTTTTGCTTAGTAATAAGCCTTTAGCAGTCTTCTAAAATCTTTCATTTTTATGCTCACTTAATGTCTGTATCGTATTTCATCACATGAATACTTAACATTATTTTAATAGAATAATTGTCTTAACATTTATTATTATAAACAATATGTCACCAATTTTATTATGAACGTACAAGAGGATACTTAAAAAGTTCTTGGAAAATAGAATTAAATGATAAATTCATTTTTAAATGTTTATTCATTTATTTGAAAGGTAGAATGAGAAGGAGAGAGAGAGAGAGAGAGACGGAGAAAAGAAGAGAGATCTTCCATCTACAGGTTCACTCCCCCAGATGCTGGCAACAGCCAGGTTTGAGCCATGTCAAACCCAGGAACCTAGAACTGAGACTGGGTCTCCCATGTGGGTGACAGGGGCTCAAGGACTTGAGCTATCACATTTTCAGGAAGCTGCATGGGAAGCAGAGTAGCTGAGATGCAAACCAGGGACTCTGATATGGGGTGCTGGAATCCCAAGTGAATGCTTAACTCACTGCCCACAGTGCCCTGATAAGTTTATTCTGATGCAAAACTTTTTGAAGTGCATGCATAGGATGGGGGTCTTTTAAAAGCTCATGAAAAATGAATATGAATAAAAGACTATTATGGGTTTCAAAATAGCTTTGCACCAAAATAGCCTCATTTTTAATTCCATTTTTCCATGGACATTTTGAAGTACCCTCATACATACACTTGTGTACTTAAAGACATAAATAATCTCCATAGGTTATTATTAAAAGTGGAACCTCTAATGAGTTAAGCAGAATTTTATTTTTATGAATTTATCAATAAATTAAGTAATAAATATATATACATAGGTACCGTTATGAATGAGCTGTTTTTAGAAGTTCCACTCAAAAAGTTAATAAGAGAAAGTGAATTTTTATTAGCCTATCACCTTTAAAGAACCAAGATGAATGTAAATTATCACATATTTTTTCTCTGATGTTACTGTTTAGAGTTTTTGACTGGTGCTATCTTCCAAACTGTACTGACCATTTCTGAACAAAAATATTACGTGAGCAATTCATAAGGCCTACTAGTTTTAAGTGTGGCATCATACCACATAGATGAAACAGAAATGTCGAAAATATTCGGTTTCTGCTTTTAATTGTTGCTAAATTTGCTCCAGGGAGAGTATTGCCTAGATGCAGGAACACTCACACCCACACGTAGTGAATCTCACTTGTTAATTTTTTCAAGTCCAGAGTAGACTTAGCAACAAGTAGAGGTCTCTCTTCAGCCCCACCCCCCATCTCCCAGGCTTCTGTCTCCAGAAGGAGTCTGGGAGGGAGCACTTGTGAGGGGACTGGTCTCGGCTTCTGCTTCTTGTGGGGCTGGGGTTGCAGAAAGTGCAGGATGCTAGAGGTCAGTCTCAGGGCTGGGGAAACCCTTCTGTGCCCAGGGCCATGTGCACATTCATAACATCATTCTCAGGCCACACAAAACGAGCAATTTCAAAAGGAGCCTGCTGTAGACATATTGAATTTCGAGTCCTGCCTGTGGTCACCATGGCAGGGCCAGAGCAAATGATTACACCGGCCTGGGCCCAAGGAATGAGCTCTGGAGGCAGCAAAACGCCTCTCAGAGCCGCACGGTGGCTTGCCACTGCCCCCTGGAGGACTGTCCCTGTGAACACCCACCTGGAGAGACGTGCCCAGCATTTTGCAGCTAATGCAAACCTGAACATAAAAACACATTGCAGTGTTTCGAAAATTCAAAGCTCCCAGCTGTTCCCATGATCTTCTGCATGATCCGCACCAGGAGGCCAGCTCTATTTGCTCCAACCAGAAAGAGGAAACTCTTTGACTAACAGGTGTCTATTTAAAGAGTGAAAAATTGCATTTGAAGATGATTGGTGACTGCATGTTAACACATACTTTGAGAAGTAGCAGGTCGGTTTTTCCCTCCTTGTTTTTGCTGCTAGGACGTAATCACTGCCAAGCAGTACCTAAGAGGAGATGACAGAATTCAAACCCTGAAGAAGTCATCTAGTGCAGATAATAAGTAGCATATACAGATAATAAATAGATTGCCACCAGAGACAGTAGACCACTGCCCAGCATAACCAGAAGTTCAGGACAGCACTCTCTGAGGGCCCCCTTACTATTCCTCTGCTAACACAAACCACACCAGAGCAACCACAGGTAACCATTCAGGTGTGACCTTAATATTAACCACTGTGGAATTTGGCCTAAGTTCCCAGGCCCAGACACAAGCAATGATCTTTCAGCCAGGCTCCCATGCATGGTTCATCAATTTAAAAACACAACTTCTGCCATTGGCTCAGAAGCTTTTACACAGAACAAATAAGAATTGGTCGGATTTTTGTCTCACTTATTTATTTATTTTATTTTTTGGTCCTTAAGAAAGCTCTATGTTAATCAGTAGGCAGAAGCAGATAGTCTTGCAAAAGAACCCATCAGCTGTGTGAACTACTTCCTGCTAAGAGCTGATCATTTTTACCAAAGACACTGGATACCACTCAGCTTGAGTGACCCACATGACTGTTATTTTAGATATTCAAACAATTGCTTGAATCTACAGCAAAATATTCTGAGAAGGACGTTGGGGTGGAAGTCTCAAATACCAAACGATTCAAAGATCATCCATATCTTCACATGAAGATGCGTGACCTTGGGAAACATAGTTTGCTGGTTGATGGTGTTAAGTGTTTTCTTCTCTCTGGCACTCTCTGTCTGCAGTTTAGTCACCTGGCAATTTGGGGCAGCATCTCCATGTGGCTGGTCTTCTTCATAATTTATTCTCGCTTCTGGCCGACCCTTCCCATTGCTTCTGACATGGTGGGACAGGTTAGTTCTTCCAACCGTGAGTGTGATTGACATGCCTCATGAAAACTTAGGTCTGTTAACTATAGAAGGTGATGTTACCTATTTTCGGGAGAATTTGGGAAGTCAAGACAAAATCAATGCAATAAGTAGCTGTTGATCCAACTAAATTCTGGTTTAATGTCAATAGAGATTTATTTCCTCCCTAAAATCTCATTACTTCAAACTAAGTGTACTCTTTCTAAAATGTTTATCTTTCACTGATAATGCAAGAAGCTGTAATATCAGAATCATCTAAAATATTTAAGTTAATATTGTAATTAGATTTGTCTTGTGCTCAGATTGTTCAGTACTGGTAATAATGCAAGCATAATAGCTAAGAAAACATAATTATTTAAAATATTTAATTTAGTAGAATAGCTGTGACTTAATGTTTCAGATACAGTATATGCTATAAGGTTGCAAATACTTTATTTTTTTAACTTTTATTTAATGAATATGAATTTCCAAAGTACGACTTATGGATTACAATGGCTTCCTCCCCATACCGTCCCTCCCACCCACAACCCTCCCCTTTCCCACTCCCTCTCCCCTTCCATTCACATCAAGATTCATTTTCAATTATCTTAATATACAGAAGATCAGCTTAGTATACATTAAGTAAGGATTTCAACAGTTTGCTCCCACACAGAAACATAAAGTGAAAAATAATAGATGATTTTTTTAAATGATGATGAAATCAGATCAGACCTATTGTCATGTTTAATCCCAGTGAGAGTCAAGTTGGGAATTGATAATTTCTTTTTTCTCTTTTTTTTTAACAGAAGATCAGTTTAGTATACATTAAGTAAAGATTTCAACAGTTTGCACCCCCATAGAAACACAAAGTGAAATATATTGTTTGAGTACTCGTTATAGCATTAAATCTCAATGTACAGCACATTAAGGACAGAGATCCTACATGAGGAGTAAGTGCACAGTGACTCCTGTTGTTGACTTTACCAATTGACACTCCTGTCTATGGCATCAGTAATCTCCCTATGCTCCAGTCATGAGTTTCCAAGGCTATGGAAGCCCTCTGAGTTCTCCGACTCTTATCTTGTTTAGACAAGGTCATAGTCAAAGTGGAGGTTCTCTCCTCCCTTCAGAGAAAGGTACCTCCTTCTTTGAAGACCTGTTCTTTCCACTGGGATCTCACTCACAGAGATCTTTTTACGTTGCAAATACTTTAAAAATATATGGAAACTGTTCTTTAATTGTGTAAATGTCAGAGGTTATATATTAGCTAGATTTTTACATTTATTTTTGTATTTTTAAATTCTACTTTGTTTCTGTTTAGGGGATTATTAGCCCCATGCTGCTTACAAAATGGGCCACAGAATTCCACTTTACTAGAACTAGAGGTAACCTTGGTACAAACCCAGCCAGGGACTAAGTGAAAAAATGCAAGCCCAGAGTTCCTTGCTAAATTTCTTTTGGGATGGTTTATTTTATGGTGAAACCTGACTGCATTAAAGAATACTTAGAAACCGGGAAAAGTGTTATTTTGGGTGGGTCTGGGAGAGGCCCAAATGAGATCAGTGTGTGGTCTGAATAGAGGAGGTGGTAGGGACCAGCCAGCCCCCTGCAGTCAGAGAATAAGTGCAGAAGACAAGCTGGTCTCTTGCTGTGAGAGCGGGACACACTGCACTCCTGCTGTGGGCATCAGTTCCTGGTCCTTGGACTCCAGGACTTCCACCAGCAGCCTTGCTGCCACTTGGCCTTTCGGCCTTGAACTAATAACCATGGCTTCCCTGGTCCTGAGCCTGTTGGACTTGAACTAGACCACACGCCTGGCAGCCTGCTATCTCCAGCCCACAAATGACCTTTCATAGGCCTTCTCAGCAACCGTGACCATGTGAGCTGATCCCCTACCAGATTCTCCTTCTTCTGTCTATATCCATTTCCTAGTGACTCAGTAACTCCTGAGAACCCTGGCCTCTCTCTCTCTCTTTGCAACTCTGTAACTCTGACTTTCAAATAATAAATAGTTTTTAAAAAATAAGAGGTCACAGGCCGGCACCGAGGCTCACTTGATTAATCCTCTGCCTGTGGTGCTGGCATCGCATATGGGTGCCGGGTTCTAGTCCTTGCTGCCCCTCTTCTGGTCCAGCTTTCTGCTGTGGCCTGGGAGGGCAGTGGAGGATGGCCCAAGTGCTTAGGCTCCTGCACCTTCATGGGAGACCAGGAAGAAGTACCTGGCTCCTGGCTTCAGATCAGAGCAGCTCCAGCTGTAGCAGCCATTTGAGGGGTGAACCAGTGGAAGGAGGACCTTTCTGTCTGTCTCTCTCTCTCACTGTCTATAACTCTACCTGTCAAAATAATTTAAAAAATTAAAAAAAGAGGTCAGTGAAATAGAAAACAATTGTACAATGGAGAAAATCAACAAACACCAGAATTCGTACTTTTTTTTTCAAGATTTATTTTATGGGGCTGGCATTGGGCATAGTGGGTAAAGTCACCATCTGCAGTGCAGGCATCCCATATGGGCACTGGGTCAAGTCCCAGCTGCTCCATTTCTGATTCAGCTCCTGCTAATACACCTGAGAAAACAGCAGAGAATGCTTTCCCAAGTCCTTGTGCCTCAGAACTTATGTAGGAGACCCTAAGGGGGCTCCTGGCTCCTGGTTTTTATCTGGCCCAACCCTGGCCATTGTGTCCATGTAGGGAGTAAACCAGCTGGAAGAAGACCCCTCTCTCTCCCTTCTTCTCTCTCTCTATAACTCTGCCTTTCACACAAATAAAATAAAATTAAAAAAAAACCAAAGAATAAAAAGCAGAGTATTGATCAGACTCAGGAGACTCGGACTTTAGGGCCTTCCAGAGGTATGACACCAAAGAATACACAGGTGCTCAGTTAATAAAAATGTGGAGAATCAAAGGTGACCTAGAGGTAAAGGGAACATTGCCCAGTCTCAAGTCACAGTTGAACTAAAGTGATCAGCCAGCCACCAATTAATCTGTCAAAGGGAATGGCGAAGTCTCAGGAGAACAGAAAGATAATGTTTAGCAGTAAGGGTATGTTGCTAAGTAATATAATATTGAACTATCCTTGCATTCTTGGGCTAGAAACTTATTTGATCAGTATATTTATTTGGCTCATTGTTTATGGAATGTGGTATTAAATTGTTACCTGATATTATATTTAGGTTTTGTGTACTAGGTTGATTTAGCAGTTCCAGTTGTGTGTGGCTGTCTTCGTATCTCTTCTTGATTCTCCATGTTTGGAAAGGGTTGGAATCTGATGGCAGCATTGGTATTTGATGTTGACAAACAGAAAGATTCTTCTCTAAGCACTCTCTATTTCTATTTCTTTGCAGGCCGATTTAGTCCTGATTTGCCCACTCTTCTGGCTGGGTATTTTGATAGTTCCTACCGTGTGCCTGATTCAAAATGTATTATGGAAATCGTAAGTTTAAAAATGGAGAGCTAGCCAAAAATTATATTGTCATGCTTAACTACCTTTCCCAACTAAGTATATTCAAATAGTGCTGAGTACCACCTTGTGAATATCAAATGCCACAGGGCTTTTAAAGCAAACAAATGTTTTCTGATGATGGACCAAAAATCAATTTACGAGGATAAAAAATATGAAATCAAAATGCATGGTACAGGGGGCTGGTGCTGTGGTGTAGTAGGTAAAGCTGCCACCTGCAGTACCAACATCCTATCTGGGCATCGGTTCGAGTCCCAGTTGCTTCACTTCCTATCCAGCTCTCTGCTATGGCCTGGGAAAGCAGTAGAAGATGGCCCAAGTGTTTGGGCCCCTGTATCCATGTGAGAGATCCAGAACAAGCTCCTGTCTCCTGGCTTCGGGCTGGCTCAGCTCCAGCTGTTGCAGCCATTTGGGGAGTGAACCATCAGATGGAAGACCTTCTCTCTCTCTCTGCCTCTACCTCTCTGAAACTCTGCCTTTCAAATAAATAAATAAATCTTTTTTAAAAATGCATGGGACAGCTATGAAATTTGGAATTTTCTGGGATTTTTGGAAAATGGGTCTATTTCTTTACTTTTTAGAAATGTGATTTATGTCACTTAAATCTACAGGAATCAAAACCTGATGCCATGGAATCACATATTAAAAATGAATAATAAAATAAGCAATAGGAGGGAGATATTAAATAGAGAACACTCTTCATTTTTCCAAAAAAGTAGATTAAGAATCTCTCAAACAGTTCTCCCAAACTTTGTTGGATTAGATTACAGGATTTTTTTTAACCAAAGACTGTAAAAAAAAAAAGTAAATAAATAAAGATGCTTTAAATTACAGAGTTGGGGATTTTTGAAATCTCTAATGTTATAGAAAAATGGTCCATGAAATAGAAATTTTTTAAATTAGAAATAATTGATTTATACTATGAATTATTGCATGTATTTCATAATATGTACATCAAAGCTCTAAAATGGTATAAATCTCTAACAATATACTGGGAGGAATAATACTAATTTTGCTTTTCATTTGTTCAATTCTTCCTTAATGTTTCAGTAGATCAAGGAAAGCATAATTATCTGCCAACCCCAAAGTGGACACTGACTTTTTCCTGGCAGACATATGAGGTTCCCTAACACGTACTCTCTCCATTTCCCCTCTGTGTGTGCGTGTGTGTGTGTGCGTGCGTGCGTGTGTGTGTCCATTCATTCCTCCATGAAGCACTGTTTTGACTGACAGTTTAGGAAATCTTTTGAAGAAATCTTTATGTTGGTATTAACTCGTCAACCAAAGTTAGCAGAAACAGATGGGGTGGCAGTACTGAGGCTTTAATACCTGTGTTGATTTGTGTTGTCCGGAAAGCAGGCATGAGGTTTCGGAGGCAGAGACGGGCCTTACCCACACCCAGCAGCGGCACTTGGGCTCCCCTTGCTGAGGCAATGCAGTGAGGGAGGATGGACGGCCCTGAAATCGAGGTTCCCACAGGAGAGGGTGGGCAGAGCGCAAACCTGGGAGTGTGTGCCGGAGACAAACAGCTGTCCCAGAGTGCAGCAGGCTTTGCTCCTTCTCCTGAACAAACAAACTCTCCCTGGGGAATGGAGGGGAAGGGTCGAGGCTCCTCACCCTTTGGAATGTAAACAAGTGTCAGGGTCTCTGAGTTCACAATTCCTGGAGTATCTTCATAGACCCAGGTCTCATCCCCTCCAGAAACGTATTCGTGTCTGCTTTCACGACAATTTCTTTTCCATTCAGGGAGGAATTCTTCCCGATGTATTGAAGAGCTATGGACCCAGCTTTGACCTAACAGATCTGTGATTGTGTTCATTAAAATGATGACAACCAAAAATGTCCCCTAACCAACCATGTTCTATCATTTGGGCACCTTTATTCTGGGTGCTAAAGAATGCACAGCCCAGAAGGCATTCACCCTGTACCCAAGTGTGCCTGGCAGCTCTGGGGACTGGCTCCTGGGGAGACAGGGCTGTTTCTAAACTAGAATATATGGAAGGCTCCCAATTCAAGACAAGTGTTTCATGTCTAAACCAGAGTGTAGGTCTCTGTGTTAAACTAGGTATTGGTCCTACTTGAATCTATACTTGCTTTTGCTAGTAGAACATAATATTCCATAATTCTTGTATTTCCCCACTGAGTGTAAATCATTTTTATTACATTGAATGAAATTAAAATGTGTTTCATTTCCAGAAAGTTTTCTATTATATACTCAACCAAGGATGATTTAATTTACTGTTAAATGTTCACTTCGGAAAACATGAAATGTTTTCTTCCTAATTATTATTCCAGATTACATTTGAAACTACATCTTATCTGAAAGCTTTTCAATTTAACTTTAGAAATAATTACTGGGGCTTTTGCTGTGGTATAATGGGTAAAGCCGCCACCTGCAGTGCCAGCATCTCATATGGATGCTGGTTCGAGAGCTGGCTGCCCCAGTTCCGATCCAGCTCTCTGCTATAGCCTGGGAAAGCAGTAGAAGATGGCCCAAGTGCTTGGCCCCCTTGCACCTGCTTGGGAAACCCAAAAGAAGCTCCTGTCTCCTGGCTTCAGATCAGCCCAGCTGTGGCTGTTGTGGCCATTTACGGAGTGAACCAACAGATGGAATAGCTCTTTCTCTTTGCCTCTGCCTCTCTGTAACTCTGCATTTAAAAATAAAAAATAATAAATAAATAAATAAATCTCTTTTTTTAAAGATTTATTTATTTGTTTTGAAAGTCATAGTTAGAGAGAAGGAGAGGCAGAGAGAGACAGACAGAGAGAGAGAGTGAGGGAGAGAGAGAGGTCTTCCATATGCTGGTTCACTTCCTAATTGGCTGCAACAGCTGGAGCTGCACTGATCCAAAGCCAGGAGCCAGAAGCCAGAAGCCAGGAGCCAGGAGCTTCTTCCGGGTCTGCAAGGGCAACTGCAAGGGCAACTGCAAGGGCTCTGCACTTGGGCCATCTCCTGCTGCTTTCCCAGGCCATAGCAGAGAGCTGTATCAGAAATGGAGCAGCTGGGTCTTAAACTGGCGCCCATATGGGTGGCTTTACCCATTATGCCACAGCACTGGCCCCATAAATAAATCTCCTTTTAAAAAATTATTACTGAGAAGCAAAATAATTGCCTAGGTGCTGCACATCATTACTTAAGGAATGAGGGTCATAGCAAGTATTGGTAACCTTCAAGTATATAGCCATTAAATTAAATATTGCCATCACTTTCAATCTTGAACCTTGAGATTTTAAATCTTGGCACACTTTGAAGTTGTGTTTAACTTTTTAAAAATAATTAAGTTCTACTGCATGTCAAAGTTGCCATTACAAATATATATATATATGTATATATACATATATTTAAATATTTATTTGAGAGGTAGAATTACAGAGAGAGGTCTTCCATCTGCTGGTTCACTCCCCAGTTGGCTGCAACAGCCGGAACTGAGGTGACTCAAAGCCAGGAGTCAAGAGCATCTTCTGGGTCTCCCACATGGGTGCAGGGTCCAAGTACTTGGGCCATCTTCCACTGCTCTCCCAGGCCATAACAGAGAGCTGGATTGGAAGAGGAGCAGCTGGGACATGAACTGGCATCCATATGGGATACCAGTACTGCAGGCGAAGGCTTAACCTACTACACCATAGCGCTGGCCCTGCCATTACAAATAAATTCCTATGAGCTGGTAAATACTCATTTTCAAAAAAGAAAGTATAAATAGCAGTGAGGCTTTTAAAGCTTTTGGTTTTTCTTGCCTTTTTGTCGGACCACAGATGCCTATGTGTTTGGTAATACAGATGAAGTACAATTTCACCGGGAAGATAACGCCATTGAAAATGAGGAGTATTTCAGCTACTGAAAAAGTATGCAAGCGCTTGCAACACATCTCTCCCAGGGCAGTCATCCAGGAAGTGGTGGACGGAAGTGCAGCTCTGGATGGGGTGCGATGGGGAGGGCCTGGGAGAGCAGGGCCACGTGCAGAATCGGGGTGGCTGATCCACATGTGGGACAGATGTTCTTGCTGCTTATGAGGAGACTTCAAACCTGCCTCTGAAGGACCTGTTGCCAGAACTACCATCCCAAGACTTCCCTGAAGGAGCTTCATCAATGAGAAAGTGACACAGTCACTTAGGATTGAATTGGTTAATATATGTAAAGTCTTCAGAAAAGTTGTCTACCATAGAGTGTTATTTATCTAGCAATTCATTCATTTATTTTGTATATGGCCTCTATAACATAGCATTTTAGTTTATTCTGTGGAAAAAGAATAAATAATGTGTACCATATGTTATTATTTGCAATCCATTCCTATGTCTATCCTTGCTCTGAAACTTTTTTTCCATAAAACAAAAACCATCCATTTCAGATAAACAGGTAGTGCATCCTGTGCCCCTACTTCAGCCGCCTTCCAGAATGTTCTCCTTAGCTATTCTTGTCTTGTCTTTGGCTTGTGGTGTCCAACAATGCTCTTGATGGAGGAATGCTAGGTAGAACGTCTTCATGAGGAGTAGTCATGAGTTTTTAAACCCTTAATATAAAGTCTCACTTCTCTTTTCCAAGCCCTAACGCACATATTGTTAGCTGCTTTTCCTTTCTCTTTTCTTTTGTTGAGTTGTGTTCTATCAGTAATTCCCTGATAAGTCTGGATGATAAGTCTTGGGATCAACCATGAGAAGAGTGTGTATGGTAAAGTGTTCATTAACCATATGTTGTTCATTCATTTAATTAGAAAGATTTGCAAAAGATAAACAGAGTGATATTACAGGCTTTAAGTTAAAATTCTGGTAGAATGATTCAATAGGACAGAGGAAGATGGCTTCCTTTTTTGAGGAGCAGCTTAGAAAATTCCTGAAATAGAATAAGATCACTTAGGTACACGGGAGTGTTTTCCTTTGGGTGTGCATTAGTGTTTGGGCTTGTTAACTTTCTTAAGAGATTTATTTATTTATTTGAAAGACAGAGTTACAGATTGAGATAGAGAGAAAGAAAGGGTTCACTCCCCAAATGCCACCATGGCTAGGGCTGGGCCATGCCAAATCTAGGAGCCTGGAACTCCATCTGGGTCTCCCACATGTATGGCAGAGGCCCGAGTTCTTGGGCCATCTTCCATTGCCTTTGCAGGCACATTAGTAGAGAGGTGGATGTGAAGTGGAGCATCCAGGACTCAAACTGGTACTTATATGGGGTGTCAGTAACACAGGTGGTAGCTTAACCTGCTGCATCATGATGCTAGCCCATGCTTGTTAAATTTTTGATAAAGTTATCTTAAAGGGTGTGGTATCCTATTTCTGGACTTCTTTGTTCTGAAATTTGACTGTTGATCTCTCTAGTCCTTGCAAACCCACCAACCCTCTCTTTTCTCTCCATTATCTCTCATTTTGCCCAACTTAATATTCATAAACCATTTGTAAACTAGCTGGTATCCTTAACTCATTTGCACTTTTTGCATGGGAGTACAAATAGCCACAGCAAGCCAGAAGTCCTTAAGCTGCCCTTGCGAGATGCCTCTGCTGTGCTTCCTCCCAGGATCAAGGCCAAATCCTTCTTATGACCAGAAATGGTCTGCTCAGTGCCACCTCTCTCCTGGCTCCTCTGATCTCCCCACGTACCACCCCAAGTAGTTTTTGAGTATGGTATTTCCTGTTGGGAATGCTCTCCCCTGCCCTCCTGCAGGCCTCCTTTGGACCCCAGCTCCATTCCACTCCCTTAGAGGAGCCTTGGCTGATACCCTCAACAAGCTCCAACCTCTTCCTCACACTGCCACAGCACCTCTTAAGGTTCTCTTTCATGACATCTATCCATCATTTGTCATGCGTCAGTCCTCTCTCTCTCCCTGTACATTGGAATCTTCATGAAAGTAGAAGTGAGTCTTGTTGCGTTGGCAACGAATTGCAGATTGAGAAATCTATTTAAGGAATGCACGGGTGAATGAATGATGCATGCCTGAGTCTAGATACAGACCCCAGTGAGGATACTTCGCCAAAGGAAAGAAGCATGTCTACGTGGGTCGCTTTGCATGTGCCAAAGAGTCTGCACACCTGAGTCATCACCACCTGAGACTTCCACTCTGCCATTATAATGGCTGTAAATGGCACGGCCAGCCCCAGGCTGCCTGATGGAAGGAAGGACAGGAAGTTGCACACAGCTGAACGAGAACTTAAGCATCAAGACTCTCAGTAACCCTGGTAGATCAAGCTACTGAAGGTCTTCAGAAAGTTCATGAGAAATGCATATGATGAAATAAAAAAAAAAACTATGCATGGGTTTCAAAAAAATTCTTTTGCCTTAAAATAAACCTATCTTTTAATAATAATTTAATTTAAGTGCCCTATGAATCTTGAACTCACGGTCTGACAGGAGTCGGGCAGGTTTGCCTTGCAGAGCCAGCCAGGGCTGTGCTGAAGCCTGTACACACACCCGGATGATCTGTAGGCGAGCGTGTTGGGGCTGCTGTGCACTGCCCAGCTTGGCTCTGTGTCCCTCCGGGAATGCGTCTCAGCTACTAGGACCACAGCAAGAGGGTCACACGCAGAGGCTGTGCATGGCGCACTGTGCCCCACCACGTCAGCTATAGCCCCAGGAGAGTCAGCCGTTGCCTGAGAGGGCAGAACGTGGTCACTGCCACTGTGCAGATCTCATGTGTTCTGTCCTTTCTGTCTCCCACATGACACAGGCTGAGAAACACCTACCGAAGAACGTTTCTCGAGGAAGTGCGGGAGATGGAACGTAACAGAGTTCCAGAAGTTGATATTTCTAAAATGTCTGGAAGGAGGTGAGGTTGTTCTCTTTATCATGTCCTTTGTGAGGAGCCCATTCTTCCCTTTGGGCCACATTCTCCTCCCAGGAACTTCCACACTGTAAATGAGCCCCCAGCTGACTAAGTCCATGTCGACCAGGCATCCTGACCTGGAGGCCATGCTGGTGGAGCGGTCCCCTCTCCCCCACACAGGCAAACACAGGATCCAGGAAGATACACATTTAAGTGGCTTTAAAAAAAAAAAGCAGAGCAGTTGCTACCCACTGAGGTTTTGACTGGGAAGTTTCAGGAGGCAGATTTCAGATTTTATAAAGGAAACGATTCTCTCTTGAGGTGAGAGATGGGTAGATAAGAAGTACCTCTGGCAAAACTCACAGCCCTGAGCTGTTGGGACCTGTGCACTTTATCATATACAAAATGAACCGCAGTGAAAGAAACCAAGACAAAAGATGCAAGCACAGTAGAAATGTAGAAAAGAGAATGCAGATAACGAAGAGAGAAAATGATTCCAGAAATCAGCAAGAAAAACACCAAGCAACAGAAAAATAGGCAGCTTACATGAACAGTTCATAGACAAGGAGCTAAGAGGACAGTGCGAAAAGTTCCTGGGAAAAATGGAATTGAAAGATTTTACTTTGGTGCAAAAACTTTTCTTTGCTCACAAGTGCTTTTCGAAAAGCTCCTGAGAAATGCATGCTGCGAAAAAGCTATGCGTAGATTTCACAGTAACGCGGAAAAATCAAACACAGAATATGATATATGCTATACAAATCTGTGTGCAAAGGGCCAGGATCAATTAAGTATATAATCACTTTTACTTCTGGAAAAATTACCCAAAAATCTCATCCTAGTGGTTACCAGGAAGGCACGGAAGTGAGGGACCAGAGAGGGGGCAAGGAAAATGGAGTACTAACATTTTCCTTATGTTTATTTTTAAAATTTTTGAACCATGCATGTTTGTCTGTGACAGAAGGAGAAGTGGGGGGGGGGGGTGGAAATGGATAAATGGGTTCTAGAAAGTCCCGAGTGAACTACATTTCAGCTCGTGGCTATATGAGCAAAAGTAAAGCCCCCGTCTGATTCTTTGGACTGCTTTGAGATACTTCACTGTTCTCTCTCTTCCCCAGGCAGTGAGGAAGCGTGCTCTGCATGCCAAGGGCAGGTTCTCAGCCTGGCCAGAGGCAGAGGCTCTTGATGGGCCAGCCTCGGAGCGGGAAGAGAGTCAGGCAGGGAGAGCTGGCCGTAGGGGACCCCTCTTCCCGCAGGTGGCCAGGGGGCTGTTATGATCTCTGAAAGCAGCTGCAGTTTGTCACACAACCTCCAAGCCCCTCAAATCCCTGGAAATACCAAGGTACATGGCAGATGCAATACAGCCGAAGTCTCCTGGGGGCCTGGTGACATTCAAGAAGTGAGAAGACAGAGCAGGCCAGACTGCAGGGGTACGAGGGTTTTAAAACTCTACCTTTGGGCGTATAATGTAACAAAAATTCTTTTAACTGGATTTTCCTAATTACACCCACAGCAGTGGCAGTCTTGGAGGGAGCGAGTTCATAAAATGACCTCAGTACTTGGAGTGGAAAAAAGTCTTGCACTTGAATGTGCACTTTGGGAGCTACAGAAGGGGCCACCTAGATCGAAGGTTAACCCTTCCTGACATGTGACCAAGAGCCTTGAACCAGCCTAGTGTACTGCACTGGCCAAGAGGCACTCATTACCCTTTGCCAATAGGAAAGGAGGCTGGGACTAAAGTTTGTAAGACACATTGGCCAAAATACCTACAGTGCTCTGGGATGTCCAGGGCTAAAAGGTGACCTCCTGTCCACTCTAACTACTGGCGAAGGCTGGTGAGCAGAGTTCTATGAATTGCTCAGGGGAAAACACTGGTGTAGAAGCAGCACAGGGCTGACCATGTCTGCAAAACATTTTGTTTTTATTTTTTAATACATGAATATCCCCCGAAATCTGAAGGCTTTTTTTTTTTATTTTCACCTTGCAACTCAATATTTTTTCCAATGTGATTCCTTTGAGATTGTCTGAATGAACTAAAGTCAGGCTGTGTTGATTCACTCCCAGGGCGACGGCAGCGAGTCTGGACATGGTCTTTGAGAACAACTCCGTGGATCTCAGTGCCCCACGTAAGTAATACGCCGTCCAGCGGGTCAAGACACTAAAACCCCATCTGCTCAACCAGAGGCATGAGTGCCTTCCCCTGGAGGACATCGTGCTCCGTGAAATCAGCCAGGCACGAAAAGACCCGCACTGTAGGGTTCCAGAGCAGTCAGATTCCGAGACAGGCAGGGGCGGTGCTGCTGAGGGCTGCTGGGTGGGAAACGGGGAGCTCTCGTGAGTCAGCCAAGGAGCCTCAGCCGCTTCTATGAATGGAGTTAGAGGAGAGCTTATTCTGGTGCGGTTGTTGTGAAATCCATGCATGTGAAGAGGCCTTCAACGAGTTCATGGAAAATGTGTTATGGAAAAACTAGGCATGGATTTTAACTTTCCACACTAACATAAACTTAGCATTTCATTCTGTTTTCAGAAGCTCTCCGAGGTCCCCTTGTACACAGCTGCAGTGTCGCAGGTGGAAATGGCTGTGGAGATGGGCAGGGGGCGGCTGCACCTGAAACGTGAATGCGCTTACCACCACTGACCTGTGCTCTCACCGAGTTACCATGGCAAAGCTCACATTATGCATATTGTACCAAAAGCAGAAAAAATAGCTAAAATGAAAACACTTGTATCTTTATCTACTTTTAAAAAGTAGGATAGTTTTTGAAGAGAAGGGATCAATTACATTAAAAAAATTACTATGTTTGGCCTAAAGCCAGTGGAATGTGAAAGAAAATAACTCCTGGTCCCTCATGCCTAAATCACAAAATCATTCATGTAAAATCCCAACATTTTGAAGATCTGCAATGTCCCATTTATACTGAAAAGGGCTATCTGAGTCTAGCTCATTTTTACCTAAAGAAAACATCCATATTCCTTTTTTTATGTAAAAGTTGACAAAGCTTGGTTGGCCACAAAGTCTTTTTAAAGTTGTTTTATTTCCCCTCCTTTAATATGAAGCCTATCCCTGAAGTACCTAGATGCAAGGCCTTTTGTGACCCTTATTTGGCGATGTTAATACTAAATGCTTCACTGGGAAAGGAAACAAATGCAACAAAAAGATGATCAATAAAGGAATAGCTGGTATTTGCTGGAAATGAGACATAATTGTTCATTTTTCTTTCCCAAGGTGTTCATTGAAAGTTGTACAATTTTTAAATTTTAGGTTCTCCTGTTGTGTATTTTCTTTCTTCTTGCTGAAGTGTATACTTCTTTGGATAGATTTCTATTTCTCTCCCTCCCTACCTCCCTGTCTCACTTATACACACACACACACACACACAGGGAGGCAGGGAGAGAGAGAGAGCGCTTTTCAGCCTGTTCTACAAGTAGCACATCACTTGTTCCCCATCCTTAGAGGGAAAAATAGAGGAACGCTACAGAGGATTAAAAATGAACCCAGACAAGAAAAGACAAAGCAGAACAGACATATTGAGGATTTGGGTTCACATCTCTCTCATTCTCATTCCCAAGGAGTGGTCTCGATGTCTGCTTCCCTGAGAAAATGAAACGAGAGAAGCTACCTTCCCAGGGCCCCACACCACTCCTCACCCGCCAGCCACACACACACAAACTCGGGCTTCGCACCTGGGTGCGGGCCTTTGCTCTGCACACCCTGCCAGAAGCCCGTCCTCCTGAGTGCGCCTGCTCAAGAACATCGCCTGGCAACCCACTCCTGTTGCCTGCGTCACCAGCTTTTCACTCTCCACCGAACCCTTCTCACCAGCATACACAGCAGGTTGTCTTCAAAAGCAGAGCTTTCCCCTGACTGCACATCACCCGTTAGATTCTGCTTCATTTCCCAGGCACTCCCGTGCAGCGGTAGTTCTTGATAAAATTTCTGTATCCATTTCCTCCAACTCCTCTCCACTACATTCTGCTCCATTCAGGCTTCTGCTCCCATGGTTCAGCTGTCACTGCTCCAGTGTAGGTCACCAGTGACCTTCATGTCCCTAAATCTGATCGTCCACTCTTCTCATGCCAGCCAAGCCCTCGGCAGCAGGTGGCACAGTACTTACAGTGTGCCACACTCTGGGTTGCATCTCGCAGGTCTTTGATTTTCAGCTGACTTCCTTCTTTGCTCCCCAGTCTCTTAATATTTGAGTCTCCCATGGATTTGTTCTTAAATTTTTTTTCCTTCCTCTGTCTACATTCACTCCACTGATAATCTCATCCCACCCCCCTGGGATGTTGCTAACACTTAAATTTCTTTTCCAGCCCACACCTCTCTCTCAAATCCCAAATTCCAGTGTCCAGCCACCCATTCAACATTCCCACTGGTTGTCTTAGGTATTTCAAACTTCACCTGTCCCTGATGAACTCATGGTCCCCTCACCCACCAAGCCTGCTCCTTCTGCAGCCGTACCCATCTCCATTGGTGATAACTGCATATTTCTAGCTGCTCAGGCCAAAGTCCCGAGAGTCACTCTTAATTCCTCTTTCCTTCTGTTGCATTGGCTGTTGCCTTGGCTGCATTCACATGATGTTGAGTCTGACCCTTGCTCGCTCCACTGCTGCCTTCTGGTCTGAACCACCATCATTTTTGTTCGCACTACTGCAATACCTCCTAGCAGGTCTTCCTCTTCCACCCTAGTCCTTCTTACAGGGTTACTGTGATCCACTTAACCTACAGCAGAGCAGGCACGTCAGCTTTTGGCTCAACACCCTGCAATAGCAATCTATCCATCACTCAGAGTCAAAGCCCAAATCCCCACCCCCCTTTATAAAATGATTTATTTGGAGCCGGTGCTGTGGTGTAGCAGATAAAGCAGCTGCCTGCAGTGTCAGCATCCCATATGGGTGCCAGTTCAATTCCTGGTTGCTCCACTTCTGATCCAGCTCTCTGCTATGGCCTGGGAAAGCAGTAGAGGATGCCCTAAGTCTTTGGGCCCCTGCACCCATGTGGGAGACCCGGAAGAAGCTCTTGGCTCCAGGCTTTGGATTGGCTCAGCTCTAGCTATTGTGGACATTTGGGAACCAGCAGATGGAAGACCTTTCTCTCTGTCTCTCCCTCTCTGCCTGTAACTCTGCCTCTCAAATAAATAAATCTCTAAACAAACCAACAGAAAAAAAACACAGAAAGAAATAGAAATGATTATCAGACTGTTCTTCCTAGGCATACAGAACTGGTCAATTAATTAATTCCTCTGGAGATTTCTCTTGGTGACCTTATTATTTATGTAAACTTGAATGATCACTTTAAAAACCTATTTAAATCTGCTGGATTTTTAAGACAAAAACATTCCCAGCTAGATAGCCTGTTGTCCTTAAGTACATTTTCAGCCTCACAAATGTGTTTCTGAGTTTCAAGATTCAGATGTCCTGGCTCCTCCCTTCTGGAATGGAAAGGAAGTCAGGAACCCCAAGGGCCACTACTGGAGCTACAGAGTGGGCTCAGCCACAGAGGAGCCGCTGCCCACTCAGCCTCAGTAAGCAGTGAAGACGATCAAAGCAGCAGAGTGAGCAGCCCCGGCCGGGCTGCACCCTGTAGGACAGCAGTGTTCAGACAGCACCTCTGCTATTTAGGGTCCTCGGTCGAGCTTTAAAAAGCATGTGGTGATAACCTGCACAGATCAACTGTGGGCCCAGAAACGGAGACTGTTGTAAGGGGCTCCCTAGGCTGTAATATAGTCCCATTTGTAAGCCCATCCCACACCCTCACTCGATCTGTGAGTTTGCCTATGCAGTCTGCCCTGATGGCTGGCCAGTGTGTCTCAGTCCAGCCGGAAGCTTGATTTCTGTCACCAGGACATTCACCAGACATGTGTGCCCTTAACAGATTCCTCTGTCTCTGCTCTTCCAGGTGGCTATTCCTTTTCCCAAACAGAGCAGTCCGTGATGACCCAGGAAGAACTAGTCCGTTCCTACAACCCCGGTAGAAACCAAAGCAAGCAGAGTTCCAATGCTGCCTTCACTGATATCTTCCTGGAGTGAGACTTCGGTCACCAGCGCGTCCTGCACCCCCATGCCCTTCACTGAGACTGGTCAGTCGAGCTGGCACTCACTGCCACTTCCGTGGCTTTGGCTGAGTAGTTTGTTATTTTTATGTCAACAGAGTCAGGAAGATAAACAGTGAGGGAATGAATGCTTTTGGATTTTTGTTAACTTCTTCAATGTTTTACCTAATGCATATAGTTTTTGTGTAGCTGTGAATGTATATATTTTTTTCTCTAGCTATTTAGCAGTTCAATCTGAAGTATAAAATTAAAAGTGTTACGTTTCACTAAAACAAGCTTTTGTGCAAGTTGTTGTTGGGGTGAGGGGAGGTAAAAGACATCAGGTTGCCTAACAGGAAAGGAACCATGGAGACATTTTGTGTCGTGCAAACTCACAGATTAGAGACATGAGGCAACACATCAAACGGTTTTCTAGAGAGGATGTCCTGTCACTTGGAGTCACATTCTGTTTCTATGATTTTGCACAATATTCTTAATTTCAATGAACTCCCATAATGAGTGTCGTCTCAGACCTCAGAATCAAGTGTGCAAGAATTAACAGATGTCATGATTTCCTGTATTTTCAATTTCATCTCCATTCTGATTCCTCCACCCAAGAGAGCTAGTGCGAAATTCAACCTTGGTCATCCTTGGAGCTCTGCCTCAGGCTGGCCCAGCTTCCCAGGGTCTCACAGGGTACAGAGCATAGAGCGCCATCTGTCTTCTGTCATCTGCCCACACAGATGGCCACTGGGACACAGGCTGCCTTTCAGTTAGGCAGCTCTAGGAGGTGTCTGTGCGAGCTATAGATTCACTGAAAATCCCAGCACTCATGGCCTCACATCCCTCAGAGAACCACTCTTCTTTTGGAATATGTCGTCACCCCAGTGTCTTTCAAATCCTTCCTCTGGTAAAGGGTAAAGTCTCATTCCTCAAACCCTATCCAACTTAGCACGGTTGTAGAAGCAAAGGGCAGGAATTCTTGAAGGCTTACTTCTATTTTCTATCCTGCCAAAATGACAGCTCTGATCAAATCAACCCCAACAACCTGATACCTGTTTGAAGAAAGAAAAGGCAATGAGAGGGGCTGGCAATGTGGAGCAGCCGGTAAAGCTGCCATCTTTGACTTCTGGCCACTGATGGGGATGTTGCCCACAATCCTATCTGCTTAGAGGTCTGTGGGGTAGAAGGGGGTGTGAGCCAGCGCACCAGCCATAGACCAGGGGAGGCCACGGAAGAGTCAGCTCCTGTGCTTCCAGCAGACCTACTCATGCTGAGCCCCTCCTGAGCCTTTCTGAGTGTACTTGAGCCCCTCTCCCAGAGGGGAGTATCTGGGACGCTATGGCTAACTTGAACATTGGCCAAACTCTGCCCCCAACACACACTGGTGCTACAACCACCATCCAGGTTGGGATAATACAGAATCCAAGACTGAAGCACTGGTCACCCACCATACTTGCTTATTCCAACCTTCGTAGCCAGTGAATGTTGCTTCAGTATAGCAGAATGTTAATCACAACAGGATGCATTTCAGCCTATGCCCAGTGACTGCTATCCTGCTCCTCCTGCTCCTTCTACCCTCTACTGACTTGCCTGTTCTCAGCTTATCTTCAAAGTATATTTCAACATTGTAGTCAAATCTGAGCATCGAGACTAATGGAGTCAAAGAGCATCGAGTCAAAGATGCCCATGCAATGCATCAAAGTACCAAGGTTTGATTCCCGGCGCCTGCTCCCCACTCCAGCTTCCTGTCAGTGAAGACCCTGGGAAGCAGTGGTGATCTCTGAGTAGTTTGAAGCCTCCCAACCACTTACCTGATTACCAGTTATCAATTACCTGGAGTACATTCCCAGTTTTGACCCCTCAATCCCAACCCCAGTCGTTGTGGGCATTTGAGAAGGGAACCAGCAGATGGATGCTGTCTCTCTCTCTCTCTCTCTCAAGTAAATAAATAATTTTTAAAAGTTGGAGACAAATTTGTGTCATTCAGATGTAAAGAGCAGGGACATATAAGAAAGAACAGATTTTAAAAGTTCTCACTTCTTAGGGTTGGTGTTGTGGTGCCGCTTGCAACGCCGGCATCCCATGTGGGTGCTAGTTCAAGTCCCAGCTGTTCCATTTCTGATCCAGCTCCCCTCCAATGCACCTGGGAAAGAAGCAGAAGATGGCACAAGTGCTTGGGCCCCTACACCCATGTGGGAGACTCTGATGAAATTCTAGGTTTTTGTTTCAGCCTGGACCAGCCCTGACCACTGCAGCCATTTTGGGAGTAAACTAGCAGATGGAAAATCTCTCCTTATCTTTGCCTCTTCCTCTCTCTCTCTCTGTCAGTCTGCATTTCAAATAAATAAGTCTTCATAAGAAAAGAAAAATTAACAAGGGAAAACATTGTGGGGAGGGAGACCTAATTCATATTTTTTAAAAAATCAGGAATTTCTCTGATAATGTGGCTCATGAGAACCCAGTGGATAGTTTTTTCTTCAATTGTACTTTGAATGGTGAGGTAGAAGTTGCAGAATATTCTTTGGCTAACAAAACAACAAGTTATGAAAGATTGTGAAGATGATGAAAAATGGAATACAAAATACAAGACACTAAACATAAGAAATTTTTCCCCATTAAAAAAAATCCACAAAGGACAAGTACAGTGTGGTATATCCATACAGTGATAGCCAAACAGTCTCTCCATGCAAGGAATCAGTCCTGCATTGAATTGCAGCATCATGGTAAATGAAAAGAGCCAGTTACAAAAGGCCACATGCAATATGTGCCATTCGTTAAAATGTCCAGAATAAGTGAATCTTCAGTGATGTAAAGTACATTAGTGGCTGCTCAGGTCAGAAGGGAGTAAGGGAGTAGTAACACTGGGAGTGTACAGGGTTTCTTGTTGGGGTGATGAAGATGTTTTAAAACTGATGGTTGCAGATATTTGTGGATATACTAAAATCCATTGCATTATATACTTTACATGGATGAATTGGTTATTTAAATCTCAATAAAGCTGCTTTGAAGAATCATCCAGGGGAAATCCACTTTCAGTTATAATGTATTAACTGATACAGAACTGGTGCTCTTGCTTGGAACGATTAGAAAATTGGAAAAATATATGTAATGACTATTTTCAGCTCAGGACGATACTCCTTCGAGAATGGAAATAAAGTGAGTAATCTCATATCATTACCCAGACTTACTGCCTAGAGGTGGCTTTTGGCCCCCGGTGCAGGGAAGTGGTACTTAAGTAAAACACCGTCCTTTCTCAAAGTTGAGTAGATGAGACGAGAATCTGGGGAGATGGAGGCAGCTCAGCTTTGCCAGGTAGCACACTGTTGAGAAAGGAGTTGCACTAATTTCCAGAGGGATACCATGGAATAAATAGATGCTAAGTTACACGTGTAGAGTGAAACCCAGTGAAGATGAAGACCCTTGGTTACCTAGGAGACAACATCAGGCAGTCTCATGTACTATAAGTTTCTCTGTCTAGAGCTGCAATGAAGGCAGAACATGTTCCCAGTATGATGATTGAAGCACAAGTAACCCAACACAAACACACACACACACACACCCCTCCCTTACACACAACCTGAAAACACATCATAATAAAAATGTTAGAATTAGCCCACAGTGGGCCAGCGCCACAGCTCACTAGGCTAATCCTCCATCTGTGGCACTAGCACCCCAGGTTCTAGTCTCGGTCGGGGCGCCAGATTCTGTCCTGGTTGCTCCTCTTCCAGTCCAGCTCTCTGCTGTGGCCTGGGAAGGCAGTGGAGGATGGCCCAAGTGCTTGGGCCCTGCACCCACATGGGAGACCAGGAGGAAGCACCTGGCTCCTGGTTTTGGTTCAGTGCAGTATACTGGTCTCAGTGTGCCAGCCATTGTGGCCATTTGGAGGGGTGAATCAACGGAAAAAGGAAGACCTTTCTCTCTGTCTGTCTCTCTCTCTCTCACTGTCCACTCTGCCTGTCAAAACAAACAAACAAAAACAACAACAACAAAAAAAACACGTATAAAAAAATAAATAGCCTAAACGAGAGTTTTCTAAAACTACTTGACAGTGTTTTGTTTCTGCTATCTGTTTTGAGTCCCACCACTCAAGTAGGAGACTTGGAGCTCCTGGTTCCTGGCCTGGGCCTGGCTGGGCCCGGGTTGTTGTGGACGTCTTGGGGGAGGTGAATCCCCAGATGGAAAATCTCTGTGTCCCTCCCTTTCAAATCCATTGATACATTTTTAAAAGAAAGCAAAAACCACCTGCAAGGCCTGCATGTTAGGGCCCCCAGGGGACCTTGGGTGTTTTGGGGACCGTGGCCATCTTGTTCTGCAGAAACAGAATTCTTGACAAGAAAATTAAGATAGCTCTGGACAAGGCATTTGTCAAGAATTCTGTTTCTGCAGAACAAGATGGCCACGGTCCCTAAAACACCTAAGGTCCCTTGGGGGCTTTAACATGCAGGCTTTGCAGGTGGTTTGGCCCAGAAACTCAGCCTGGGGACACGGCTGATATTCCAGGAGCCCTGGCCAAGCCAAGAGCCTGTGCTGGAAGCCAGCCGAACCGGGAAGGCCCCCCTGGTTTCCCTGCGGGCTACATCCATAGTGGGCAGTGCTGGGGAAGGCGCCCAGGTGTGTGCAGGTGCGCGCAGGTGAGTCGCGCCAGCGCCTGCATTTCAGAGGACCTACTGAAGAGCAGAGTGGCCGGAGCGGCCGGCCAGTCACCGTGCGCCCCCGGCCCGGGATTTGTTGTAGACATGGAGCACCACGGAGCACGTTCTTCACCCCTCCACCCTCGCACACCACCGACACCCGCAGCCTGGACCTCGCAGGCACAGGGCCTGGAACCCCTCGCCCTGCAGAATCCTTCTCTGATCCCCCAGTTTCGAGTTCGTTACCGAGTTTTGCAGCAACACGCACTGTGTGGGAACGGGTCCCGCGGCCTTGGGAGCATAGCGCACGCCCGGCTTTGCCCGCGGAGGTGGGACCCGGCCACGCCTCCCTCTGCTCCTGGCAGAATCCCTGGCCCCTCAGCTGTGCTGAGCTGTGCGCTTAGATGGTGGTGGCGTGGGATCCCGTTTCCCGGAAACATGACTCTGAAAACAAACCTCAAAAGCATCTTGAATTCTTTCACTGTCGGGAGTGTCCTCGAGTCCATGTGGAGGTAGATCCAACCCTGGATCTGGTGCGGACACGGTGGCTGCGCCCTGTGCTCGAAGCCCCGCGCCCCTGGGCGCCGAGGAAGGCCGCTGGGCTCGCTTCGGTGACTGAAGAAGGAAATGGAGGGTGGTGGAGGTGGCAGGTGGAGGTGGGGGTGGCAGGTGGCGAGAGTGCTGCCCTCTGCTGGCGGCCCGGCTGGACTAACTGTTCTCCAGCTCCTGAAACCATCCCTGGGTGCATTCCTATACACGCGTAGGAAGATGGTTTAGGTGCTGTTTAATCCTGGGAAGGGTGGTTCCTGACTGCTGTCTGCACCTGCCACATATCAAAAAGGCGAGGCATTTGTGTTTGGGAATGATCTGCCTGCTCCGGGGATACCGCAAACACTCACAGGAAGTGCTCCCCTCCCACTCTTCCCAATTCTTTTGGTTCATTAAAGTCAGGCCAGCAGCACTAATCAACAAAGAGGAACCCTTTCTCCTTCCTTTGAACACAACGGGATTATGTCAGCGCGCTTCGTAAGGTAAGCTCTGCTAGCTGTTATGAGCAGTCACTCAAGTTGTTCCCTGAAAAGTAGCGCCTTTGGTGACTTTCAAGTCATTCAGTGTGATGGGAGCTGTTGAGCCTGGCAGGTAGGTCCCTGGTTAGTATGCCAGGGTCCTCCCGAGGAAGGAGGAGTGAGTGGAGACTGACCATAAGGTAACCTTGTAGAATATCATAGAGGGATGGGCACATATAGGCAAACTCCATTCCAGTACATAAATAGTCCACCTCCCATATGTATACAATGGCTGTTAAGGGAGCTGTTGATTACTTACTGATTTCATTGATCAACATGTTGTGTCTTACCCCTGTGTCATTCTGCCTTGGTCAGTTCCAATGGGCAGAAATAAACATTGGCTGGGTCTCATGTGTGCCAGCGCCATGTGCTGGGCTCCCTCCACCAGGCAACAAGTGAGGGAAGAGCTTTTCTGAGCCCTGAGTCCCATTTCTTCCTTGACAAAAACCCCAGGCATGAGACATGTTCCCAAAGCCTCTTGTCTGATTTCAATTTTGTTCATGCCCTCTAGGTTTAAAAACATTTTTTAAGCATCATTCAGAAACCTCTAGTACAATTGGCAAGCACAAATACACACATCACGTTGCTCGCCTGTTTGCTGACTTCTCTGGAATGGGAACTCTGTCTTCCCAGGTGGCCTCTTTTCCTGTGTTCTGAGAGTCTTCTGCAGTACATCTCAGATTTAACCTAGATTGCAGCAACCCTCAAATTCCCAGTGCTCTCGGGTTTTCCTTGCTCCCGGGACCTGGTCTACAATCCCACAAAGGCCTGTGGGGCTCCGCCTTTCTTGGCTGTGGTCTGTGCTTAGTGATCCTCTTTGGCCTCCCAAGCTCTGCTACTTGATATGTAGCACACTCAGTCCTTGTCCCCTCTCTCTGGGCATTCATGTCAGGAGATATCGTGTCCTCAAGTTCCTCCCTCCACCCTCATTAGCTCCACTTCCAGCAGGAGTCAACTCAACGCTATAGCCATCAGTAAACCCCAGACCTCCTTGTCTCTAGTATTTGAATTATTATTATAATAATTATCAGAGTGCTTCATAAATAAGGATGAGGAAATAAAAATACATTCACTATGTTACAGAGTCTTCTGGGCTAAGAAATCTTGAAAAAATGACTCAAACCATTTGGAACCTTGCATCTCAGGACAGGGAACACCAGAGGGCGTAGGAGGCTTTCCTGGCTCCGATTAACATTAACAATAAATTGAAGAAAGCAAAGACAGAGCAAACTCAACTTGGGTTGCGCTTGTGGCTTTTCTGCCTATGACACATGCATTTGTTTCACAGTACATATTTTTTTTTACTATGAATCTTTTAAATATTTGTTTATTTACTTGAGAGGCAGAATTACAGAGAGAGAGAGAGAGAGAGATGTATTCCATCCTCTGGCTCACTCCCCAAATAGCCACAACAGCCGGAGCTGGACCAATCTGAAGCCAGAAGTCAGGAGCTTCTTCTGGGTCTCCCATGTGGGTGCAGGGGCCCAAGCATTTGGGCCATCCTCTGCTGCTTTCCCAGGCCACAGCAGAGAGCTGGATCCGAAGAGGAGCAGTCAGGACATGAACCAGCACCCATATGGGATGCCGACACCACAGGCAGGCAGAGGCTTAACCTACTACGCCACAGTGCCGGCCCTGATTATGAATCTTGATTTTTGCCCTGTTCTGTATTTTAATTCTCTCTGCATTTGCTGAAAACCAAATATCTGGGCCACTAGAACAGTGTCTGTCTGCTTCACCTTACTTGCTCCCGAAGCCATGGCTGAGCGCCTGTGAGAAGCAGCATCCATTGGGGCAGAACACTTGGATGTGTGCAAAGCGTGCTTTAGGACCAGCGGCATTCACCATTCATAACCACGTATACCTAAAAATTGCAAGCGTTGTTTCTGGTCTTTCGTTGATGCTATGGGAAATTTCAAAGCAAGTGACCAAGTTGGTTGCTTTGTTTTCCAAATAGCCCATGATGTAATCACAAGGAATGTCCCATGGGAATTCAAAAGTGTCTCCTTGTTTGGGTTGGGAAAGTGTCTGCTGTTTTGGGAAAACGAGGGCTTATCATATAACTAATAGGAGACAAGTGGCAATGTTCAGTTTGCTTCTCTGTTGTCTCCGATCGGTCTCCCTGCCCCACTACTCTCACCTGTCCAGTCCATCTCCATACTCCCCATAGAATTCCCTTCCAACCATGCAACCTTGGCAGTCCATGCTGGTGACAGCTGAACGCCCCCATCCAGCTGCAGCATGGATCCCAGATTCCACAGCATGGTGCAGGAGCTTTCCCAGCCCTGGGCCCACTGTCCAGCTCTACCACAAGTGCTGGCCCCACTCGTGAGGACACCTCGGCCCTCCAGGCTTTGAGAACCCTGCCGTCTCGCAAAAGCCTCCTCCCTCTCCTCTCAGCTCATAGCAGCCTCCTCTCCAAGGACGTTTTCGACCCTGGCCTCTTTGTCTGAGCCCGGGCTGAACTAGACTCACTGTTGCAGTTGTTGGGCTTCAGAACATGATACCCCACAGTATGGCACTGTGGTGTGTGCAGTGCGGGGGGACTCTGTTGTGAGTGCCTACTTTCACGTAGCTCAACAGTAGCAAGTGTGACGTACTTGTCAGTCACAGAGAAGAAAGGAACACTCAGACACAAGATTGCCTTTCCTATGAATGATTTTTTATTGTTTGCACACCGGGGACACACCAGGGGTTTATTACATTATTCCACTGCTTAGCTATTTGGATCAATATACTCATCTATGTCACTATACTTATCAATTTTTCCATTTAACACTCTTAATATAACTACTTAACTACTTAACACACTTATCAATATCACTATTATCACTATCAATAATGTCAATAATATCACTTATCATGACTTATAGCTAACTTAACACACTGAATTACTTAGCTTAACATAACTG